GTGAAAATACAGTCTGATAATTCAAAATAATTAGTGGACTTATCTCTATATGAAAGAAGGAATAATAAGGTCCAAACTCACATTTCCCCATCATATATTTTTTGCTAAAGGTGTGACAAAACAGTGCACTGAATATGGGCGTGTCTTTATTTTTGATGATTTGACAGCCACAGTCCTCAGCAGCACATTGGACCAACTGTAAAAAAAAATGATCTGTAAGCTGGCTAGCAAATGGTGCACAGACTGTATGTGAACTGTGCAGTTGGTCATTGACTAGATCAAATAAAAACAGTCTGGAGAAATGTCCAGAGTACACAGACATTAGCTGCAGTAAGACAGAAAGATGATGGGTCATTGTTTAGTGATCAGCAGCAGCTCTGTCTCTGTACATTTGTCTCATCTAGTCTCACTTCTGCTCTTGTCCCTGTATGTTTGGACGGCTTGGATTGTAAACAGCCACATTATCTCTCTGTGTTTTTCTTTGCCAAAGAGTCATTTGTCAAAGTGTTATTGAAATGCAGCAGCAGAGAGACACTCTGGAGAGCGCGGCCCTGGAGGTTTTCTAAACAGCAGCAGGTGTCTCTCTCCTCAGATAAACTTCCTGTGAGGGCTGCAGTCACAGATAAAGACTCATTTAGAATATAGTCTCATTTATTTGCCTCTTTGAAGTTTTTTTTTTTAAACAGCCCATATGTTTCTCTGTGAACTCATACAGCAGAAGCAAATACATTTAACCTTTTTGAAGTTTCTGATGGAAGAAATGGTTTCTCTTTCACTGAGCAGGAAGAGTCACAACACAATAAAGACAGACAAACATTTCTATCCGGCCTCTTTCACAAACTGTGGGAGGATAAAACTCCTGGGCGTTATGCTTTCTTTGAGCTCTGAACTGAATACTTAACTTGACTTTCAATCATTTCATAAATGTCAAGATATAGCGCTGTGGCTACAGAACGTTTACGCCTCAAGATGTGCTTCAGCCCTGTAACCACAACACTTGATACATCCATTACTTCCTTCTGACTACCTGGTGCAGCCTGCTCATTTTCCACCTTTTCACTCCTCTCTTTGTATTCTCATATTAAAGCGAACAACAGTGTTTTTAGTCTTAGCTCAGCCCAGCAGGCATAACGCAACACGGGCAGTGCAGGTGAAGGTGGCATGAAAAGGAGAGGGAGGTGTAGATGAGCAGCCAGCATAAATAATCAGAGGCCTGAAGAGAAGAATGATGAGTTGGTAGTTGTTATGTGTGATGAGCAGTGAGGATGGCGACAGTTTCCGAGACTAAAGTGGAGAAAACGGCAGCGGTTGGGTGAGTGTAACCTCGCTATGGGCGGCTCAGGGGGACGCATGGACGAATTTTGATGAGATTGTGGAATTTAAAGTGAACTCAAAAGTCCAACGAAGCTGAAGAACATCGTCCTTATGTCCGAATGGTCTGCTGATCTGCAGCCTGTTTCAGTGGCAGTGAATGTGAAAGTCCTCAAAGGGAATTACAGTTTTAATATCACATACAAGACATAGTTGTACACTTTCTTTTCTCACATGTTTTCAAGGAAAGTTACCAGAAGAAGAGTGAGAACAATACAATGCAATATCAGTGTTTTCAAATAGAGCCCTCTAATACTGGCACTGCTGTAATGAATACAAACATTAAAGCTGCTGTGGTTAGCTGGTTATGAAACAGACTGAAAATTAAGACAGATGCCACTTTTGAGCTGATTATTGGAGAGAGAAAAAAGACAGTTTTCAAGAACTTGTATTTAATTTGTAGAGTGAGAAAAAACAAGCAACATCAAAAACAATGTCGTCTCATCACTGAGCTGCAAAATCGAGTAAAGGCTATCTGAGGCCGCTTTCTCGTTTCAGATGTCCCAGCTGTGATACTTTAGGAAGAGTTGTGATGCCCTTCATCTTATTTCTGCTTTGAATCCATCAAACAGCTTCTTGTACTGTGAAAAATTGAGCAGATTGAGAAATCTGCATCTGAAAATTGGTTTATCAACATACACGACCTGCTATTTCAGGATATAACCAGCTCTTAAAACAATAAAAGCTTCTTATTTAGGAATTATTTTGAAGGATTAACGTCATCACGAAGAATGCATGTTAGTGGTGCTGAGTGCAACAAAGTTTGTTAGAGGAGCAGAAAACCAAAAGAGTAACAAAATCACAAAGCCAAATTTCAGAAGTGTCCCCCCCCCCCCCCCCCCCACGCTGTCTCCAGCTGAGCAAATACATGAGTGGCTGCTCCTCATGTACTGAGCTTTCAGTGTGCTTTATCCTTCTACATTCACAGGTTATGATTCCCATGAACGACAGGACAGATTACACAAGATGTATGACATGAAATACAACCGCTGTGAGCACCCTATAGAGTTTTGTGCTGTGAGGAGGCTGGGATAAAAGCATCATCATGCAGTAACAGTGTACAGTGAGCTCTGTGGGGGATCCTCATGTTCCTGCTTTATTCTGACTGAGAGGGCTGGATGGGGGCAGAGAGAGTATGATTTATTTACACAGGTCTCTCCACCTGCCTCCCTGTGAGGATGTTTCTTTGTCTTTAAATCTAAACAGAGATGATTACTGGACAAAGATCTGGATGGATGAATGCATGAGGCTTTATAGTCGATCTTAAAGGAGTATTCCCAAAATGTGCCATTATGCTAAAACGATGGGAGACCTGTTTTGGAGAAGGCTTTCTTCATTCATTGTTTTTACTTATACCTATGAAAATGTATATCCTAAAATCCTAATCTAATCTAAATTAAGCCAAAGCAAATTGGACACCAAATTGGTAGGGGACAACAAATAGGTAAAACAGTGCAGGAATTTTACCAAGGAGATGGGGATTTGTTAAATTTAGGGCTTAAAAGATTGTTTTAGTCGAGCATTAGCTGTACTGTTAGGTATTAAAGGACTTGCACAGAGCTCTGGTCTCTCTTTATTGAAAGAATGTGAACGACTTCATGGTATAAGCAGAAAAACTACACAGACACGCCGATAACGTTATATGGTGGTGTTTCTGCTGTAAATATCCAGTGACTAAATAACCAAACAGGCTGTGGATTATCTCTGAATTTATCCAGCCGAGGTCAGACAGCAGCAACAGAACACAAACGGCCGATTAAGTTTTCATGTCAACAGACTTTCTTATATTCTGTTAGCAGGTACACCCGACAAATTACTTTCTATTTGGGTGCACTTCTAATAGGCTAGACAGAAGACATCACCTTCACTTGTAAATGTCAGATGTAAACATTTCTTCAGCCTCCCCTAATCATATTTTATTTCCAGCTTACAACATACACTTGGCTCCTCTTCAAATATAGCTCCGCTGCTATGAGGTGTCTTTATTGAGGTGAATGACCCTAAGATGGTATGCAGATTTAAATGGTATTTCCACAAAACTACCAAGATAATGCATTCAAGAAAATTCATACAAACAGATTTGTAGGTTTAACCATCCAGAGGACTGATGAATTCTGCCTGTTCTCAACTTCGTTCTATCCTGTTTGTAGCATTTGTTTTTACATGACAAGTATTTCATGAAGATGTGGTGCTGATGCATATAAAGCGAATCTTTTTTTTTTCACCCTTTAATGAAGTCATGTCCTTTGTAATGAGCATAAAACTTAAATATTATGAAAAGTAATTTCACAAAGGGGGGAACTACAAAGAGGAAAAAATATCTCCAAAGCCCTGGAATTTGCCCTTGATGATAAGTATGCTGCCACGCTGACTGAACGTTTTGTTAAACTGTATCACTTGTGTCAAATCTCTGATACCCCTCGACATGCTGGCTGTAATTAGTTCCAAGATTAATCCGGACGAGCTTGGTCGAATGTGGCCCTTCCCACAGTGTACGTGAAATAAAGGCCAACGCGGATAATCAAATAATAGGTGAATATCAATGAATGGACCAAATCACTTCAGTCCCAAGCTCCCTTATGCAATTATTTCCTATTCACATTCATTATTGCTAACAGATGACATTAATGACTTTGAGAGGAAGCTGGCCGTGGCAGCCCTGCAGACGATCGATGCTTTTTAAAATTGGGTCACAACACTTGACACCTTTGAGGCGCGTATGATTGGAAATGGCACAGAGTCAAAAAAACATCCAATGCATGCCAGTTTACAGTGGCAGCAGTTTCACCAGGAAGATTTTCTGAACAGGACCCAATTACTGCAAATAACAGACTTAAAAGCATTGAACAATAGTTAATTAAAGAGGAAAATCCACCTTAGACATGTCCTCAAGTCCAATCTTTGTATTATAATCACAATCACAATCAAAGATGACATTTTGATTTTCAAAGGTTTTGTGGAAACTGTACTCTAAAGTTATGTTTGAGATTGAGAAAGTCTGTGAGATATCCATTTCTGAGAGTCAGGACTCTGGTTGTTGGTAAAAAGAGTCTGTTGGTGTGGTGTGATGTTTTGATGATATCTCCACTTACCCAAAGAAACTGTTCAATCTATGATTATTTCTCATCATGTTGAGGGTCTCTCACATTTTCAAAATCTGATTGAAAATCTGTAAGTGTGGTCCAGTCATACACAGGTGAAGCTATTTTTCTGTCACAAAAGGATACTCAGTACCCAGTATTAGGAAGGAAAAACTTGGGGATCAGATCATCTCTATTTATCATCTTATTCTTTTGCAGGAGGTCCAAAGAAATGGAAAGGCGGGTGTTCCTGCAGGAAGGTGGCCCAGCCTGTTGAGTCTAACATGCCCACGCAGTAGTGGTAGCGGCAGTGGTAGTGAACAGTCACTATCCAGTGCTTGTAGTGAGTACTCCAGCGGCTCCCACACATGGGCAGAGGGGCGTGGATTCTCCAAGCAGGTTGGTTTCATTCATTTCCATCAAATAATTTAAAATATCTTGAAGCTATGTTTGGGAATGGAGGGTTAAGAATGTGATCAGTGATTTAATACTATTTTAATGACAATATATATCTCTTTCATGCAGTGTGGCATAAGCCGGGATAAACGGATGAGTACAGGTTCTGTATCTAGCAATAATTCTGCATCCATCGAACAGACAGAGCTGGGGTGGAAGGAAGGACACATTCTGAAAGGTCTGAAGCGTCTCCAGACAAGCTCAAAAGAGGCATCCTCCATTGCACCTGTACCACACTGCAAAGACTGTATGACCTTTAATGAGGGCATATACTCACTTGGTGTGAAGTGTGGCCAACAAGGAAGCACAGCCAAACAGGTAGCCTCAACAAGTACGCCTGTCAAGTCCGGTATTGCTGCCCTTGACTCTGATTATACAGAGGAAGATTCACCTAAATTACAAAGAACTGAATCCAGTGACCAACCAACAAATGAACCTCTTGGTTCGGAGAAGAAGTTTGAGAAGTTTGATATCCCAAGAGATGACGACAACAATTATCAAGAAGATCCTGTGAAACTTGCAAGGGATTCTGGTCTTTTCCCCTCACCTGTCGCTGACAACATCTTATTTCTGGAAGGCCCCACAGTCCAACCTGGTGTTAGCCCAACAGAGAGCCTTACAAATTTGGAGCAAAGAAAGGACTCACTTGAAAAAAACAAGCCTTCTGGGATGAAGCTAAGTGACAAAAACAATAACCAGGAAAGGTCTACTGACCGTAAATCCAGACTTGATCATGTCAAAAGACAAGAGGGCAAATTTGCAGCCAAGCAGGACGAAGCAGGAACAAGTGATGTGAGTGCTTCTATTCAGAACTCTGCAACAAGAGCTCTAATTTGTGTGAGTGCAGCCAGACAGCGCAGCTCCTCCATGGAGGTTCCTCACTGCAGGGATCAGGCCATTCAAGCTGGAGGTGGAAGCCACAACCACACTATCTCAGAATCTCCTCAAAGGAAAGCCAAACCTCAGCTTTGTGACTCAGCGAGGAAAGCTTTCATTCTGCGGAGCAAGAGTGCGGATGCAGGACAAGAACAACCTAAGCATACACATTCTCCTCTGCACCAAAAGCTTATCAAGGGCCACAGGCCCAAAGGACAGTCAACCCCTCCTGTGCATAGTGTCTCCAACAAAAGGACCACTCTTACTAAAACCCATGGAACAAGCAAGGGAGCTTTACCTCAAGTGGAGAAAGATGAGGACTCTGCTGTATCAACAAGTTCCAAGTCTCTCAAGAGTGTGCAACAGTGTTCTCCTCTTGCTTCCCCTGTGAAAAATTCAAAGACATTTAAACCTCAAGGGATCAATGAATGCTCAAAGAGCCCAACAAAACTACCTTTGCAAATGACAAGACCTCAATCGATCAATGACTCTGTGGAAGAAGGCATTTATGATAACCTGCCCTGCTCTCCACGAAAACAACGCCGCCAAGACCAGCACTGTGATGCTTCCCATCCAGAACTTAGGTCCCCATCTCCTCCACCACCACCCCCTGGTCGGACTTCTTCTCTGGTTCTTAGACCTGGTTGTGACAGCTCACCCAAAGCACAGATATCTGCAGGTCAGGCTCGGAGTTCTACTACTGGGAAGACATCATCGAGCACCACCAAGCCACAATCGAATCAGCTTTCTGCTGCTTCACAACCTCAACATTTTAACACAACAAAAGACAATCTATATTCAGCCCCAGGAATGAGTGCAGAAGGTATAAAAGAAATCCCCACCAAGCAGTACCATACCAACTCATCCAAGATACCAACCGTCCCAGTTCAAGAGTCACAAGCTCCAGAGTCAATCCAGTCATCTATGGAAAGATGTGTGACTTGTCACTATGAAAATGGCCCTCCTGTTATGTTGCCAAGTCAGAACATTTTACAAAGATCCCAACAGAGCATCAGTGAGCCAAAACTTTCAGAAGTCTTGCCTCAGGCGTATTCTAATGTTTACTACCATGGGATTGCAAATAATCCTCAAAGTTCCACCTCAAGAGCTGTAAAAATGGCTCATCCAGTAAATGCAAAATCTCATGAAGCTATCTCTGGGCAAGACACCAACACGTTCTTACTTTTTGGAAGGCAGAACAAAGATAATACAAACCCCACTCCAAAAAATGTCCAGAACTTTCAGACGTTTACATGTGATCCCCAGATGATGCATGAGTGTGGAGCCCATGACAAAGCCCGCAGAAAGATTGAGACCCGTTGTAACTCACTGGATTCTGAGCCCCCAGTTCAACCCTTCCCATCAGACAGTGGTGTGATGCTGGATTGGGGATTTGATGAAGAGGGATGGCTGTTTAAACGATCTGTGTCTGTGTCGACCAGGCCTCCACTTAAGCCAGTGATGGGCATGAATGGAGCTAAGGCTCGTAGTCAGAGCTTTGGTGCTCGCTACATGGACAGACCAAGCTTCAACAGATCTGGAAAGGTCCGTACCCAGATCAAAACACACTCAGGGAGCTCCTTGAACTCTCTTAGCGATGTCCTACCAGGAAGTATGAGCTGCTCCAGTAGCTACCATTGCCCAATGAATCGATCCCTTCTAAACAACTTCTTGATTGAAGAGGGTCTTGCGGTTCCCCCACATTTGGGGTCCTCTAGTGAAAGACTTCAAAGTCTTAAACTCCAACGAGAACAAGCTAGGCGTCTTCAGATCGAGCAACAGTTTTCAAGCGCCTTCGGTGAGCCTGTCTCTGAAGAACCAGAGAGACAAAGTACCATAACCACGATCGAAGAGAAAGTGATGCTGGGCATAGAGGAGAACTTGCACAAGACTCAGGAACAGGAGAGGACCATTGAAGTGAAGCAAAAATCTGGGTCAACTTTAGCAAATTGGTTTGGTTTTCGTAAGAGTAAGCTTCCAGCTCCAAGCAGCAAAAAGACTGATCCACCGAAAGTGAAGGAGGAGAAGAGGGAGCAGAAGATTACATCACTTCTTGGAGGAAAGCAGACAAAGTCAGACAAAAAGAAAGACAGAAGAAAAAGTGACGGGAAAGACAGGTAAGAAAGGGTTTTTTCTTTGGTACACTTATCACAATTCCTGTGCTTTTAAGAATGCCACCTTCATTGAAATTTCATCAACATTAAACCTCCAGTGCATCTTCCAACAGATTTCATCATAGCTTGCTGCCAATTTTATATTTTGCTGCCTCAGATGACTTTGTTTATTTTCATTGAGTGGTATAAGACAAATCTGTCAGTGTCTAACAAGAGGTTAGCTGCCAGGTTTAAAGAGATATAGGACAGTTTTTTAGTCAAATCACCCACGGCATGTGGAGTCAATATCACTCAATCTCAGTATGTTGTGGTTTGTTGACAAACTGTTTTTTTTTTCAGCTCTGTGGGGAGGAGAGAGTCTCATGATGCAGTGCGGGCATGCATCTCAATGCCCTGCCCAGGAATGTCCCTGAATGAGATGCAAGGACACGCTGAAATTATCGGGGACCCCAAGGTAAATTAAATTATAGCTCTAATCAAAACAGGCAGTTATTGGTATGTTCATTGGTATGCAACTGCTTTTTGTTCTAGATACAACCATGTATTTTATACAAAGTGGTTTAGTCCAATCCACTTTTAATGTGCAGTTTGTTTATTTCAGGAATATAAGAGTTCTGAGTTTGCACCAGAAAGACACACTAAAAACAAAAAACAAAATCAGCCTGACTGAAATGATAGCAATGGTTTGAACATACATTGAATGTAATTGGATCTATTACTTGTATCATCCAAGTCCGAAAAAGGACCTGGTTCAGTTTTTTTTTTTTTCAGCTTATTGGTACTGCAAACAAGTCATGTGGGTTCCATACCATAAAGTTATATCTGGAGTCAAATCACATAGATAAATCAAATCTATGATGCACAAACATTCATCCATTCTTTAAAAGTTTTTGAAGAAAATTGAATAGCCAGCCAACAAGTATGAAACTAGACAAAGAAGAACTCTGATGGTCAGTTTCTTGCAAGGATGACTGAACATGCAAAGAAGTTTAGAGTTTGTCTATATTTACCGAACAATGAGGAGGAAGTTAAATGCAATTTAAAAGTATTTCTTGCAAGACGGGGAACACAACCTCCATGGCCAAACACATCAGCATTGTGCATCAATTTAAAACAAAATGCAACACCTTCGACTTTGTTGGGGTTTTAAAACGAAGTCAATCATGGCTGCTGCTGCATGACAGTCGTCCTCTGCCTCCAATCAAATCAGCCTTAATAAAATAAAATAAAATAGAATGTAGTTAACTTACATTATTAATCATTAAATGATGATGTGTTTAGGGTCCGCTCAGTAAAATTACTATCAGGCAAAGTTGAATAAAAGGTCATGATGATGTGTTCAAATGACACATCAAAAAGAGAATTAAGGTTTTGGTGAGAAACATGCATAAATACAGTATTTTGGAGTACATTTGTTTGTTTTCCCAGCATGTAATCTAGATTTTAGAAGTGGAATTAACTTTCCAACATGAGCTTTGTTCAGCTTATAATACTAAATAAATTCTACTGCAGCCAAGACAACTATTTATTTCTCTATTAGTAGGTACTGAAGTCTTGCCTTTCCACCAAATATTATAAAGTATAGAGAATGGTACTGATAAAGACTTGGATCGTTAAGGAAGCTCAATAATGATATCGATATCAATAAAAACTAACAAATCCCCGTCCTTTGTTGGATCAAATAAAAAACAGAAAAACACAATCACACAACAGTTTTAACAAGTGAGAGGTGCTTCAAGCTAATTTTACAAACTGTCCCTCTAACCATGTTACACGAGGTTTCATCACTCTGACCTTCATTATCAAACCGTTAAATTTATCCCTGTGTTCACAACTTTACCCTTGGAGCCAATTTATTTTTGAACGCATAGATCAAAAATTGAACAAGTGATTGCATCAAATGTTCAGAATTGTCAGTCAGGTACACTTTGTTGAAGCTTAGATGTTTGTTTTTTTATGTAAAGTTCAAAAGCTGTGAAACATGGGAAACACCTGCAGGGAGGACTTTTCATATAACACCTGATGTCTCTCCTACTACCTTCCAGTGTCATTCGTAAGTCAAAAGAATGAATGAATTTTGAATAACACGGGTAAGGGTATAAAGGCACACAAGCAGAATAAGGTGCAGATTAATGAATGAGTCACATTATGATTCAGACACTGTCAAGGTTAGGTGTTCATTGTCAGTAGGAGCCACACAGAGCGACTCAAAGAGCTTTAGAAGGTTAAAAAACACAACGTTAAAACATACGCCAACCAACACATAAAAATAATAAATATAATAGGATTTCAGAAACACAGGACAAGATTTAAAATGTAGACTGGGGGGATGTAGACACAGAGGGGTTTGAAGTGGGCACCCTGCGTCCTCAACGTTTCGTTTCATACTGAGTTTCTGAAATCTGAATGGCTGGTTGCGTCCAGTGACTGCTGAGAGAGATCAGCTGACGACAGGGGAAAGACTTTGAGGCGGCATGGAGAGACGGCTGACAGGAGGGAACAGACCCCAATGGGACGGGTATAGGCTAGCTACCCATGTCTGTAGTGTCCCAGCTTTTGCTATGTGTTGGAAACACACATACATATGAATATGAATCATACATAAAATGTAGAGGAAGCAGAAAACACAAAAAAACTACACGTTACATGAATTAGAGTGAAACCACATGTGGGTAACTTCTTCTTCTACTAAAACAAAGATACAGATGATGAACCTGAGAGCTGAAGGAGAAAATGGATCCACTGTGAAGACCCCCAACCAGGATGCTGTGATAGGTGAGATCTTTTAATTCCCTTTTTATCTCAGACTTTATATAAAACTGCATAAAGCGACTGATCCCTCTTGAATCTGTGTTCCTGGAAATTAAACCAAGGCTACTTTACAGCATTGTCTGCTGTGTCAATCAGCATGCCAGGCCTGAAGGTTTTTCTGTGCTTACCATTTTACAGTTTGCAGACAGAAATGAAGACCAAATATGAGAGATGTGTGTAAGTCATGAACATGATGAATATGCTGAATGCAGTCAAACAAAGAGGCAAAATGCTGAATTTTGTCAGTGTGTGCTTTTCTCTCCATGTTTCTGTTCATGTTATTCGTTCTCCCTCTGCATTTATTTGTTGTTTTCGGTGGTGATTGAAATCAGGATCATTTCACCACGGCTGTGCTTCACACAATGTTTGCTCTTTGATGGTGATATCATAAACAACAAACTCATCCTCACAGAACCATGCACTGGAAGTTTGCATGCACAGACTCATCCCATCAGGATGGACCTATTCATCCATGCAGTGGACTGAGCGCCCTCCTGGTCAGGCTTAATAGAAAAAAGTGAAGCCTCTGATTTTAACTCATCGAAGCCCCCTTTGAAACTCCTGTTATTTTCTAGATCATATAAGGCTTTCAGGTCCACATATTTTTAACAAACGCTTTTCAGTTGGCTTTTGGTTTGGGTGAGGGAGCGGCTTGATAGAGCATGCAGGAGGATGCAGAGATGGGTCTTCAGTGATGATGAATGTTTCTGGGTTAATATAACTTTAACATCAACATAAATGATAGAAAATAAAATACAGACAACTGAGGTGAGAAGTTTAAAGCACCACAATTCATCATTAATGACGTCAAAGCTTCGCACACTCAGATGCAGATACTGACTTGTTTCAAGGGGTTGGCAAGAAAATGTCTGCATAGAGTCAGGGGGAAAAGATTTGGCAGCTTTGTTCACACTTGCGGCCCTCCTTGTCAACGTTAGAACATTTCAAAAGTGCAGTGCATATGTGAAAGGGGCTTTATTGTGAACCACACAGCTGCAACAACTTGAATGCTGAACATTTTCATCAAAGACGAACATTTAGGCGACTTTTCTTCTCATATCCTACATTTTTATTTATTTATTATTTTATTTGGAAAGGGACAGTGTACATTAATTGACATTCAGACGGATGTAAATGTACCTGAATTGGCCGAAAGGGATTTTCTTTTGCAGACATTAAGACATTGTATTATAACCTGCTGCTTGCATTCCCACTCAAACCACTCTCCTGACACTCTCCTTGCAGGATAACAATGGCTGAGCTCAGGGCCACCAAGACCAATTTACATTAAAAGAAATACAAACAACCCAGAGCCTTTTCAACCCAGTGTGCAATCTCTTGGCCAGACCTGTAGAGATGGTAGAGATAGGTCTTTATTACCCCACACTGTACAATTATGTTAACTGACCCAACAGATAACAAGGATGATATTGAGGCAGACTGGTTTAGGTTAAGTTTATATATATTTTTACCTTTTGCCCCTCATTAGCAGGTAGGGCATCTTGCTGCTGCAGGTGTTTTCTCGCTGTGTGGGTCAGTTTGGTTCAACCACATTTTGGATCTAATTGTCAGAGTTAATCAGAATGTGATTGACAGTCCTGAGGTCACTCTCAGATTAATTAACCTGAGGTGTTTGTATCAGCTATTTTAAAATGAAATGATTGGATTCAAACCGTCTGTTTTTTATCATTAGAGCCAAACCTTTGGATGTAAACGTATCCTGAATATGTCAAAACTCTGGAGCTCTCTGTGGCTTGGATCGACCTGTCCGATCAATGGCACTTCGGTTCAGATGTGATCTGTCTTGCTCGCTTCAACCCACACACATAAGCGTTTTCCACTCGGTACCTTGTAGAAACTAAAGGTGGCAAAAGGGACAGAGAGTGGGTGGGAAACTTGGCAGGAAGTAAACTTTATTTGGTCCCAACTTCATGGCGGTCACTCGTTGAATTAAGAAAAGCAGCAGATAAAAGTCTCCACGTCGCTCAGGTAGAGGACTGGTGACACACCTCGCTGAAATTTCATTGACCAGAGTGACACCATCGGCAAGTCGCTGCAAATATCAAGCATGTTTGATACGGATGGACGCCTGCCCTCAGGGGTTAATCACCTCATTAAAATTTCAACACTGCAGCAGCTCAGCACGCTCGTCCAAGCCACAACTGAGTCAATTAACTTTGCCTTCAGCTGGGAGCTGCATTACACCCTCTGTTATAAAGTTGACAGAGCACTTTTTAAAGCTGATGATCTGAATGACAGAAATATGTACAATTCAACCAACATTGAAGCTACAGTGTTGAATTTGTATATGAACAGAAACCTGCCGTTACAGCCTTTTCTAGATATCTCAAACCCCAAAGATCCACAGTGAGTGATATGTTTGGTTGTTAGAGACAGCAGGGACTTTTCTTCAGAAAACACTTCTAACCCATGTACTGCACAAGCTCAATGAAGACAGGAAACGAGAAGTACGGCTTTGTCCACAGGGGGCGCCAAAATCCACCCAAACAAAGTTTCTCACAATAGCTTTAAAACGTATCTGTAGTTTCACACGATACTGAAAAACTACATTTCAAAACATTTTTGGCTTTGAGTTTGGAGTTATCAACATTTTATCATAGTGACCGTCTTTGTTATTTCTCATCTAAACATCTGAGCTCAAATTACTCAAATGTCATCGCTCTCAGCGTACAGGTCTCCTGTGTAATTTCAGTGTTCTTTACAAAGACAGGAAATAGAAGAAAGTGTATGATATATTTTTCTTTGGCCCCAATATTGCACTCCCTGCCTGTTGGTGAACTGGTGGAAATATGTACAGAGAAGTTTTTATTCATTTTGCAAATCAAATCAAATTTATATTTTCCTACAATAAGTATCAGACTTGGGCGCCTAGTGGTTAGTGTGTGTGCCCCATGTACTTAGGCTTAAGTCCTCCAGCGGGCGGCCAGAGTAAGAATCCAACCTGTGACTCCTTTCCCAAATCTCATTCCCGACTCTCTCTCCCAATTTCTGACTCAATTCACGCTCCTATTTCTAAATAAAGGCTTAAAAAGCACCTTAAAAAAGCATCAGACTTTACTTTTATTATCATACACTTACTTAAACATATGATAGGGTATGTTTTCATACAGTGGAATGAGAAGATCATTAGCACAGAGCTGTCTTGTGACATCTAGCACATATTGATCGAGCGTGCTGCAGAGGTGAGGAGATGTGAGGAGGACAGAAACAACAGCGTTCATGTTAAAGGCTTGTTGAAACTGATCAATTCTCAGACGCTCTGTTTCTGTCGTTCCAGAGAAGAGCGGCTCACAGCGCTTCTTGTTGACTTCGATTAAAGAACAAACCAATCGATAGCAGTGTGTTCTATGTCCTCTCTATTCGATCATTTGTACTTGTTTACGAGATAAAAATAACTATTTTCTCCTCAAGTGGAGCCTCACTGACACATAAAGATACTCAACATCATCTTTAATACATGGAAGCTGCAGTAGTCATAAACTGCAGTTTATTTCAGTGAGTGACCCTAACTCATCCAATCAATAAAGTATTATAAGATTGTGAGATGTTTTAATGCCTCAATGCTGATATTTACAACTTACTTATAAAGCTTTGGTTTGAAAGTTTACAAGACAAAAGTAATGAATATTATTATTATTTTTTCCCAATTCTTATATATATTGAGCATTGAGGGTGACAAAAAGAAAAAGAAAAAGTGAAGACAAACAAGCTTGTAAACCCAGTACAGGGCTCTGAGGTCTCCTGTGTGCATATCTTAATTATAAAGGGGGAGCAGCTGCTTCCTGTGCTGCAGACTTTGATTGCCTTCAGGTTCCTCCTGCAGGGTCCATATATAAAAAAAAACATGAGCCTGAACAGCAGCAGCTCGAGGAAATCTCTGTTATTTTGGTTTGGTGCTCACTGGATGGATAAGTGGAAGATTTGCTTTGAAAGATGGATGACTATGATTTCAAACACATACATTTAACAAAGGTTTATCTATTTAATACCTGTGATCTAATGCAGCCGTGTAAACTGGTCTAGCCTCAGGACCCACCACAGAGTCCTTCATGACAAATCACAACCTACGTTTTTGATATTTTTTAACTAAAGAGATTTATTTCATGACAAATTGTGCAGATTGGACCTCAGATGGAACAAAAGAAATGTGTTTAAAAAGCGCTTCATAGACTTCTTTTCAGGCACATATTTCCGAGCCAATGAAAAGGTCTTTGTTACCCACGTTTGGGTCCCGACCCACCGGTTGAGAAACACTGATCTAATGCATCTGTGATTTGATTGGACCCTGCAAATTCTGCAAATTCTGCATCTTAAATTCTTAAGTTGTGAAAAACTTGAGGCTGGCTGTAAATGCCGAGGAACCCCCATCAGGTCAAATGTTTAAATGCCCATTTATACAGGAGAATAAATCAATCATTATTTGTAAAGCGGCAATTCATAAAAAGTGTTATCTCGAGAGACTTAACTAAGAATTATATGGGACAAAAAGAGCATATGGGACAATATGCAGGAAGGATTTCTCCTTTGTATTCCTCGCATTCCTGTTGTTCACACTGCCTTGTTGGAGGTCGAATAAACATTTTGACAGCCTGGGTCAAAAAACTGTTTTGGGTAAAGCTCATTTATTTATTGGTTCACGCTATACAGGGGGTACATTTTTTTTTAAAGCTCATCCATTTAGATTTCATTACGGCTAAGACTGGTGCAGAAATATGCAGGTGACAGGTGGGCACGTTGTAGCTTCTTTCCGGGATGCTTAAGAACCTCTTCAGCTCCACCTCTGTCTGTTTCTAGAGATTACGTCCATGTTGTATACAGTCTATGGTTGCACGGAGAAGTCAGGATGTATTTAAGAATATGAAAAAGTGAACCTTTTACTCAGTTGATTTTTAAACTCCGGTGACTTACAAAATTACCAAAGCAACGTGTTCACTACAACTCATGGTGTATCCACCATGATGTCCCAGTTTGGTCTCATGAGTTTGGTCAAGAAATTGCAGAAGTAATTACAAACGTGACACTCAAAACTGCAATTCCTGAACTAATGGGTGATCTAACTTTGTCTACATGAACTTAGCTACAAGCTTTCCAAAAGGCTTTTTACACAAATTGATTTTTAGAATTGCAAAAGTTTTGAATTCATGTCGACTTACACAAAAACATCTTCAGATAAATCACAAACTGCTGCAAGACCTGATTGTTTGGCCTGATTGGTGTTTGATTGTTTGATGTAGTGCTAATAAAAAATACACTTTCAAAGTGTATTTTAGGATCATTTCATGTGCCATACTTTACATTTCATATTCACAGTGTGATTAATGCATGTTGGGTGTCAACACATCCATTTAACCACATCTGTAAAAAGCAGTGGTTCAAGTGGGCTTTAACTGCACAGGGCTACATGAGAAGTTTGTATGAGAATAAAAACATGCCTCTCACTTATCTGTAATTACAATTACAATATAATTAAACAACCATTGTTGTTTGTATTTTACTTGAATAGGAAACATGAAACAATCTGCAAATTAGATATTGTTTTTTTTTTTTTAAAGAGGATGAAAAACATTTGAACATTCTGTTGTTTTCAAAGGACTGAAATAGACCATGATCATCTGCTTATAATGGCACACAGTGAGGATAATGTGGCAGGAATAACAAGGAGGCATGAGGGAAACAATCAAATGATGCTGCAGAGAGAATCCATTATTATTGATCAGTGAAGCTGCCTTTGTTTGAAAGTGAACGCTGTTTCACTGCTTCATATGCTCAGTTATTGTTTCTAACACTTTACCCATCAGATTCAGAAACAGTTTATTCTCCAGGAGGAATATTATATTTACTAGACTTTCCTTATAGTGCCATGAAGTAACCTACAGCCATCTTTAATTGGAACACATATAGTTTAAAGGTTTCTGTAGCTCCACTTCAACCATGGTTACCCCGTCGTTTCTTCCCCGTTGTGTTCCCTCTTCTCCTCCTCCTCCCCTGAGCCACTTCAACTGTTCTCCTTGTGCCGCAGGCCCCGGCTGCAAGATGCGAACGTTGGACAGTGGAATTGGGACCATCCCCCTTCCCGAATCCTGTTCCTTCTTCTCCTCCATCCTGCACCTCCTCCCCAAATCCTCCTCCATCCCTGAGCCGTCCCTCAGTCCTCCCAGTGTCCCAAGTTCCTCCAGCGAGGACGTGTCTCCTTCCCCGCTACCCCGATGGAGAATCCCTTCCGGTTTTAAGGACGGCAGCCTTACGGGGGTGCCGAACTCCCTCTCCGACTCCTCCATGACCCATATCCAGTCAGTGCCTTTCCCCACTGTGGCCTTCCTCCAGCCCATCCAACCCCCGCCTGCACCCGTCATGACGTCTGCCCGTGTGTGTGAGACCCAGAACAGGCTGCCCAGACCGCCACCAGGTACAGTAAAGTAACAGTTCAAAAAGAAGCAGAACATACTGTATGGACTGCAGGAGTAAAGATGATGCTCATGATGATTTTCATCCTTTTAGTAACTCAGATTCATCTCATGAAAGAATATTTTGCTGTTTTAGTCTCTTACTTCTTCCTGTGAGGTTTGAATTCAGCAAACTCTCTTAACCTCACAAACCCATTACGCACTACCTGTCACAGCTTGAGTAATGAGTTGGTAAACCAAAGGAATGGTTTGACATTAAATTTGCCTCAAGAAAAACTGAAGAAGTGGTCCATTATCTACTGGATTTGAATGTGAGAGGAAAAACAATTTTCTCATATTTATGAAGACCTCGTGGAAGCAAACCTGAGGGGGAAAGTAAAAACACTTTCTTGTACCTGTTAGAGAGCAGCTTAGTCATTCTCTGGATCATTTTCATACCTTTTGAAATGCATCCCACTAAAATATTTTTATAGAAAATGCTATATAATCACAAATCAGGCGTAACCCTCTGCAGCTGTTGAAGCGAGAGATATGGTCCTGGATTAAAGAATCTGTAAGGAGTTTTTTTAAGCTGGTTTTTAAAACCGAATGACGTTAATATTGAAGTTTTTTTATGACCCACTCAAACAAACAAGACCAGTATGAAGGGTGGAGGTAACAAAAATGAAATGATAAAAGCGGAGGTGATGAAAACGCGTGTGAATCTAAAAAATGGAATGATAAACTGCATGTGAATTAAAAGATGAAGTGAGAAAGTATTTGAGTGATATGATTGATTTGAGGTCAGTTTTGATTAAAATGGTTTTTATTTGCCAAACTTAATTATTAATTGTCTTTCATTCATCATTTATAAGGGCTGTCAAATGATTCATTTTTTTAAACCGCGACTAAATTTCAGAATTTTAAATGTTCATCTCAATTCATCTAATTTTCAAACCCATGTTTGAAATTCCATTATTTTGCATTTCAAAATAGTTTTTTTTATGCTTTTACTTTGTACTGTATTTAACTAAGTTTGCTGTATTTGCTGTTTGGATAAAATCCTGCTTTTATTTTGAAAGAAAATCAGGAACTTCCAGTAGATGGAAAGTTTCGACATTAACTCATGGAAAAAGAAACTTGTACAGACCTAAAAGTAAAATGTTTGGAGTCACAAGCTGCATGTAACCTTTAACTGATCGGTTTATAAGTTTTAAACTGAAATGAGTTACTTAAAGGCGCAAAGGTGTCGTTTATTTCCAATCTCTGCTGCTTTGAAACACTACACAGTGAATTAACTACGAGTAGAATGTGATTAAAGCAATTAAAAATAACGAATGCATTAATTTCTAACCTTAATCACATCATGATTGATGCGTTAACGATGACAGCTCTGTTATTTATCATTATCACAAAAACTTTTATCATTTCAGGAAGCGGACCACAACGGTGGAAGTGGAAGTAAAAAAAAGTTATAAGAAAAACTGGAGGTGGTGAAAACGCATGTCATAGGAAATATTTGGCTTTAAAATGCATGTGAATTGAAAAATTAGGAAATAAAGATGTTTATTTATCAAAAATAAAAGTGATACTCACCATTAATTACATCTAACAGACTTTTATTGTTTGCAGCACCAAGTTTTTGTTACTTCCGCCTTAAAAGAAAGAACTGGCCCACTCATGGATCCGCTCGACCCTTGACCTTTACTGTCTTTGCTGTCTGTGGATGAGGAGGTCAATGACCTTGAGTGTTTTTCAAGATGTTCTGTTTCTGTTCCTTCATAAATTCACTCCTTGAAGTTTTTGAGGCGAGAAATTGATGTAGGAGGTTATTCATATTTCCAGTTTTTAAGGAAGTTAAAGTTGAATCAAAACTGTGTTCCGCTGTTTTCAGAGTTGAGGAGCTCCAGAAGCTCGACCAGGGACAGCTGGCCGATCACGCCGGTCAGTCCCGCCTCCTTCCCCGCCGTGACACACAGCAGCTCACTTCATCTTTCAATTCACATTCAATGTATCATTCCGTTTTTTATCGTAGGCCTACATGCATTTTCATCACCTCTGCTTTTATTATTTAATGTTCGTTACTTTTACCATTCTTAGCGTCAACAGCATACAGATGACTTTACAAAGATGGACTTTACATGTTGTTGTTTTTCATGTTTGAAGGACAAAACAGATTAAGAGCATGTGGCCGAACAGACAATATTTTAAACTTTCCACTCCACACACAAACATTGACTGTTAAAAGTCAGCCGGATTCGATTTTTTGTTAAAAATAAAACACAACCTGCACATGTTCAGGAAAAATCTGACAGAATTGAAAGATGTTTTGATTTGTCCAGAGGGGGGTGCCAAAATCAACATGAACTAAAAGTTCCTCACAGGAGCTCTAATTAACATTCACATTTTATAGCTCAGTTGAGTGATTATAATTCAAAATTAAAATGTGGAGGATGACAAACTGCCTACACTTGACTTGTGAAATAGGTCTGCATAACTTTAGGAATTTAAATTTTCAAAGAAAATATGTATGCATGAAAAAGCTTTGATGTGACAAATTCTCTGAAATCACTTAAATTGCACTTAAAATATGTGTACCTTTGAGATGTTCTTGCATTAGGGCTCGTTATGTGCCAAATGTTATTTCAGGATTGGTCGAATGTAGAATTTTGAAGGCCAATAGGGGTACAATACATAAATTTTTCCTGACTCATTTTCTACCATAAGTCATATTAATAGTCATGTTGCCTTGGTTGGTTTCAAACCTGATTCAATTTGGATGAGCTGTAAAAAGGCATGAGCTGAAAACTGAACGATATCCATCTATATGCTGAGGTTTCTTACGTCTTTATGGTCGAAAATCGTCATGTGTATCTGTGCTGCTTCTAAACAGGATAGAAAATATTGTCTTTAAATATGAGTAGACTTTTTGATGCATCCAAACGTGCCGTAAAGGTTTTAGATGAGGCGGAGAATCTTTCTGGCAGCTGTCACACATCTCTAAAGAAAGAAAGCCAATGAATGATCTGCTTCAGTAATTCATCATTCCTTTATCAAGGAGGTGTCGGAGCTACATTTAAACGACAGAATGCATTTCACAGAGAGTCACTCCTGTCAGGTCCTCTGCTTTACTTTCACTATGTGTGCAAGTGGAATAGAAGGAACATATTTCTATATATAACAGTGTATAAAAGACGAGTGAAAGCAGCAGCAATCACAGCGTGTCATTGCAATAACCTCCGCGTTTATCACCACACCATTAACCCTCCTGCAGCAGCGCAGTGTAGACATGGCCACGCTCAGTCTCACTAATCACACACACACATTATGTTCCAAAGAAAAAAAACACTCACTGTGAAAGGGAACTATGTACGCTGTGTGATAATGGTTTTAGTGAGTAATGTTTACAATGTGAAGCCTCGAGGCTCGTCTTCATGACGCACGTCTTCTATTTGAATCTGTACAGTTTTAAAGGGAACTCTGACGAGGAGATGACGCTTTCTAAATAGGTTGAAATACACTATAAGCATCATATCACATCGACTACACAGTCACACTGTTGTTCTTTGAGAGTCATGTTTTATTTTTGTGTCAAGCTTTCCATTCTTGCGCTGCACACACAGTGTTCAGGCAGCTAGCCAGCTGAAGTGACGACACTTACTGATAGATTGTAGCTTTAGCCAGCAAGCTCACAAAATGGCTTAATCTAAAAACAATTTCTTGCTGCACTTACTGATAGCTCCTGCTCAGTTGTTCAGAAATAAGAACCTCTTTAAAGTCTTCTAAAATGAAAAACAGGTACCTGAAAAGCTAAAGCCTCATGTCATGTGCATATAGTCAGCGTCTTCATCCACGAGAGGAAAGAAGACATGGAAATACAGAAAAAGATGTTTATATTGTACTACAATGCCAGTTAGCTGTAGTATTAAAGATACATTCAATCATTTAAAGGAGCAATCTGTAAGATATCTACTGAATGAAATTATAAAGTGACCTTACTTTTTGATCAGACATTAAGGAAACATGCTATGTTGAAGTGTTGGCTTCTCTGACAACAATGCAGCAGTCAGTATGTCCTCCTTCTAACTTTAGATTCTGGTCCTGAATGCTCTGGATTTGTTTCGACCAGAGAAGGTAGACATTTTTAAGGTTCCCCCACACGGCCGTTTTGGATGCCCCTCAGTTTGCCAGATATGAGAGCAGTTATCAGGTCAAACCAACAGGTGTTGCAGCGATGGAAGCGGGCAAGAGAACTGGTTCAGATAGAAGTGATTGTACCCGACCTAAAAAGCCTCTACATGTTTCTAATAAGCTCCACGAGCAGAAACGTGCTCAAACTAGGATCAATATTGGAGATGCTTTTGAAAAATGGAGAGAGGTTAGAACACAGAAAGGTTTACAGGCCGATGCAGAGCTGGATAAACACTGAAGCTTCAGTGTCAACCACATGGCAACCTTAGTTAGCATCGACTCTAGAGAGGAGGGGGTGGGGGGGGGAGAGACAGCTCTCTACAATGTTTTGAATTTGGTTGGCAGTACCCATTTTAACCACTAGGTGTCAGAGTTACATATTGCTCCTTTAACTTTTTTCCAAACTAAACAATGCAACAACAAGTACCTAATTAGCCAAGGAAATGCTCTTTGATGCTCAATTTCTGCTGTAGGTATGAAGTTGGTGAGCAAGACATGCCAAAGTTTGAAAATTTACTGCAGACAAATCATGGATGCATTTTTTAAGAGCTGGATCCTGTGTCCAGACTTGGCCTCTCGTAAACTCTGCACAGTGGCCATTTTTAATATTTCAATAAACATACCATAAAGCATTAAACTCAAGAATGCCAGAAAGAGACATCTGTGAAACAGTTGATAGGACAGCTAGAACTGCGAACAAGGTCATTTACGTCTCTTTCTACGATTGGCTATTGATAAGGTTGAGGTTTCAAATATGTAACGCTAAAGAAGCAAAAAAATGCATCTTAATGTAAACTTTGGGAGGAGCAGGACAAACACTACTTTTCATATCATCAACTGAAAGCTTTAACTTAAAGTTTGGCTCTGGCAAACTGAACCCTAACCTCATTTAAATAATGTTTCCCTTGAGTCGAGCTCAGGTGGTTGTTGCTCTAAAGTAAGAGTTATACATTTCCCATCTTTCGATACGTCAAACCTCTGCTCTCCCTGACTGTCGCACAGATCTCCTGACACTTTGAATTCACGATGATAATCATTCTCTCTGTGAACATGTCAGATGTCAGTTTGTCAGTGTCACTTTGTTCACTTGACTCCACATTTCACTGCTCTCCTTGACAGGTGAGAAAATTAAGTGTGACTGCAGAGAGAGAGAAATAAAACCCTGAAATAAGTTTTCCTCTGTGCTTATTTCAGGTGCAATGGAACCAAAGAAAATGACCTACATCAAATCCAAAACACGAGCCCCACCAAGCCAACAGAAAGAACAAACACGACTTCAGCTCGCCAACTGTAAGACCTCACAGGAGCAGGTTTATTTAATGAACACAAACAGACACACTGTTAATAGCATGTTTTTTTTCTGCGATCACTTCTCACTCTTCAAACTTTATCATCACAAGATGTTCTTATTTTCTAGAGAGCACTGAGTTTACATTCATAACTCACCCTATAAATAACAGACATGTCTTTTTCTAATACTCAAAAGTGTTTTCTTCAAAAAGTTTTGGAATTTAATTAACTTAACTGTCTTGAAAATATAAAACAATACTGTATTTAAAAAACAACAAAAACCACTGAGAAGCTCTCCAGATGCTTCTTGTGACATCATGGTCAAATGAAGCATTGCAACCAAAGCTACACATAGCATTATCAAAATCAAACGTTTGCACCAAATGGCACACACTTCATTCATATTACCAGATTTTTGTCTAACCAACTACACACTGTTGGGCATAATGAAAATCACTCTCATCTTTAGTATGCTTTGCCATAATACAAAATTTTTCAGATTGTTCACATGCACAGAAATATTTGCAGATACACACACATGCTGTTGAAACATTATTTTTTTTTTTTTCACCAAACAAGTCAGTGCTACATATACCAGTACAGTAAAACGGCTCAAGTTGGGCTGATCTCTGTCCAGCCTCTCGCATTGTCAGCCCATAGTAGATGATATGATCAACTAAGGTTGCTCTGATTTCATTTGAAAGTTGTTGTCTTCTCTGGCAATGAACTCCTCTACCAGCTCTACCCCTACCTCACACTCTTCCTCCCGCTCTCATTCTCACCCTCCCTCTTCCTCTCTCTGCAATGTCTTCCATTGTTGTTGTAAAAAAAAAAAGGTGTTCACCTGTGGTCTTTTCATAGTGCTTACTTCCTGATTGAAGTGATAACAATTAACCATTGAGGTGTTCGGCCAGGTGGCACATACATTGGCCAGTTAGCTCATGTAGTGTCATTTTGAATGGCAGTGTTTTGAGATGGCGATGTGACTTTATGTCAGATTGTTGTGTCTTATGCAGAGACAAATGTTTTCCTGACATATCCGCTGGGTTCATCCTTCTTAAATGTCCAGGACTTTGTCAAACAGATAAACACTATTATCACGCTGACTACGGTGAAAGTCACAAGCAGCAGTACAATAAGAAGCGGAAGGATCATTACCCGTTTTGAGATCCCCGCACCCGAGGCCGCGTGGCCCCTCGGTGCTGGCGGCGGATATGTCAGGAAAACATTTGTCTATATTTGTCTGCAGAGTGTTCAGTGCATTTAAAAAGTGCCATTTTGAATCGCAAAATGTGTGTAAAGCAGAAAATGTGTTTAGACTTTTGGAGACTTGAGAAGAGGTTTTGCTCTCTGTGTGTCAGTTTAAATACTTGTGCTATGCATGTCATTTTAGTGTGTTAGCAATTGGAAAAAACTGTAAAAGTAAACTCTGTGTGGAGACGGTAGCCTAGTAGTTACATTGCACAGATGCTATAGTCCTCCAAGTGGAAGGTTTTGAGTTCAAATCCGACCTTTGGCTCCTTCCCCGCATGTCGTTCCCCACTCCTTCTCTCGCCCCGATGGACTCTACTGTCCTGTCTCTAAAATAAAGGTATGAAAAGCCCTGAAATAATCCTTTATATGGCAGCTAAACAAAGGACCAACATGTTTCACAAACATCACTTTGCATCTTGATACAGTGCATTAACGCTGACATTTACAGAGTGTGTGACTGGATGTGTGTGTGTGTGTGTGTGTGTGTGTGTGTGTGTGTGTGTGTGTGTGTGTGTGTGTTTAATAGATCTTAAATGTGCCTGTGGGGTTAAAAACAGGTGTGCTGCTTCACATGAGCTACCAAAGGACACAAACACCAAATAAAAGCACAAAACCATTCCCTCTTACCTTTCATCATTTCATCAGGTTGTATAAGCTACTCCTCATATGTACATGTTCTTTTTACTGGTACAATTAATGTGACCTGAAATAAGTTACATTTAAGCATCAAAACAGAGCCATACATTACCTCATATAACAGGTTTGACCTTATTATAAGTTATCTATTGAAATCAAACCACAAATTCGTATAATGACTGTATCAGAGAGATGTAGAATTTATCTCCAACAATATTTTAATATAGGTGTGAGTGTTAATGTTGAATATTTATGATCTAAATATCTTGTCATGTGCTAGGACACCTAAGTATGCACTCTGTGGATTTCAACAATAGAATAGCGATAACCAATTGGGATGCGAGCCGGCTAAAGAAGAACATCAACCGCAGCTAATCCATTTTTGCTGACCTCCAGCTCACATTCTGAAAAGTTCAGCCCATGGTCACCATCTTTGTTTAATCTAAAGTTGCGTATGGTCGTGAGATTTTGAATATTTTCACAATTTTCCCCCAAATCAGAATTAATACTCATTTACTTTACAACCTTTTTATTTCTATATTAACTCTTTGCTGCCAGAATGTGAAACTCTCTTTTGAAAAAGCAAACATTTAATCTTAGACTGGGTTTTCATAGCATCAAGCTGCAGGATCTAACTGTAGTCTGTATCTGTTGTTTCAGAGTCCATGAAGCTAAATGAGTCCAGCTGAAGTCAGGAATCAGGCAGCCGGCTGGATTTATCTCTGTCACACACACACACACACACACACACACACACACACACACACACACACACACACACACACACACACACACACACACACACACACACACACACGGAGGATCCCCACATCCCACAGTTTGGACACTCTGCATCAGGATGAAATGCTCACAGCTGGACAATAAGTGAGTCTGGCTTCCACCTGTGCTCAGTGTGGAGCTGAGATACTGAGCAGCCTTTCAGGATGCAGCATTGAAGCTTCTGGTCGTCATTTTGGAGCTCGTTGGCATCGTCTGTGTGCAGCAGATGGAATTTTAAATGTAGCAGCTCTGCCGTCTCTGGGCTGGAGTTACACACACGTGGATTTCTCTCTGTCATTTCCCCCCTTTGCAGAGGTAGCAATTTGACATAAACATGGCAGATACTTTTGTTTTGGTGATACCAGGTCCGCTTCTGTAGCGTTGTCATGGCTACCTGAAATCTTAACCATTTAACACAAGCTGATTCTTGTACTGAGGGCCCAGTGTAAGCAGATGCTCGTGGACATTAGCTTCATTTTCACATCGCTAAGGAAAGAATCATTGTAATTTTAAAGCTAAGCTAACTGCTCCTAAGCTAACAATATATGATAAGTACCAAGAAGAACGAAAGGCACACAGCTGTCATCTTTCAAAAGACATCCCAAACATTTTAACTCAAACACCATCATAAGATAAGAGTCACATAAAACGACATTCAATCACAATTTTTACATTTTGCTTTGGGTTACACATAAAGCAGACAATGAAAGGACGCCTCAAATACACATATTTATCAAACGAACCTCAAACTACTAAAACTTATGAAAGTGTTTAACTTCCCCTGCCTCTTCTTGAAATGAAACAATGATGAGGGTGGTTTTGGTTTTGTGTAGGGAACATGAATCCAAGCACAGGGGAACATCTTGGTCCTGGATAAATACTGGAAAACAGAGTAGATCAATATTTAACATTTAAACACTTACATGCACTTCAGAAAGCATGAAACTGGACTCAACAGCTGGTCGCAACGATAAAACTTTGTTCTGCAATCCAGACCAATCAGAACAGGCTTTGTCTGTATGATCATACACCATGTTAAGTCGGCGACACACTAGACGATTTTGGGCCTGATTTGACCTTGAAAACGATCGGGGGGGGGGGCGTGGCCTGATTTGAGGCTGGTCGTATCTGATTTTTCTGTCAAAAGATTCCTCAAGTGTGGGGTGTCACTACGATTATTTTACTGCTTCCAGATCTTGTCGGAGCCTCCCTGATCTTGAATCAATTCCGGGTCAGACTGCCTCCAACAGATTACCTGCATCGGCCAATCAGAGCGAGCAGACTTGAAAGCGTCACCAAACCGGATGTTTGGTACTATGATAACTCACCCTCAGCTCCCGCTGCAAATTGTATAAAGCCACACATAATCTGTCTGCAAAACAAAACACACAGCAGGAGAGCCAAAGTTGATCTTCTTCTATATTTTTTTCTTCTTCTGAAGTCCCGTTTGATCTCCTGTCTGTGAAATCTTACCACAGATGGCATGTGTGTGGTCTCCCGGCCTGGCCGAGATGTCCAGTGTGTGTGTTCAGAGTATTATAATATTTAAAACCGGTTGAAGCCATCCTTATGTCTGTGGTCTCCAACGTTTTTAAAATGGGGTGAGGTTTGACAATCGTCTAGTGTGTGGCCAGCTTTATTCTGATTTCTGCATTAAAAGAAAATGTTTCCAGTGAATGTAATCGGTAATGTGTGAGCCAGTGTGGTAGAGTTAAGGAGCCAGAGTGTCCACATGTGTTTTAATTAACATCCAATATTCAAACTACAATGTTATCTCATTTCACACTTTCTGCACCAAAAATGAGACCATATTCATACTCAGACCATACTCCAACTCATTTGTGACAAGATAAAAGTCAGGATTTGTGAGACTAGAAATGTAAGTCCATTTTCAAGTGGTTATGATTTAAGAGTTCAACAGATACAGGACTTTCAGCCATGAGACCAGAATTTAAGTATCGTAGAAACCAAATAAAAATGACATATTTTAAATGCAACGCTTAATGTCACATCCGTAACATACATACCTAACGTGACACCAATAAGAATTTTAACTCGTGTGATTAGATACGTTGTTTTATCTGTAATGAAGACGTAAACAAATATCGACCTTTTACCGAGGTTAACCTTGGAGGGAGGCTAACTCTGTGATTGAATCTTTTAGTCTCAACGAGCTCTTCAGAAAAAGCCTTGCAAGCTGGTCGGCTGCATGATCCAGCCGCTAATTTTATTCTATGTTGTGGGGCAGTTTGAGTCCAACCAACCATGCCAGAATATGCACCGTATTATATCAAAATGTTTGTTGTTCCAGGTTGAACATTTAAGTAACTTTGCACAAGAGGAAACCGTTGCAGCTGTCAGGTCACTTTTGGAGGAATATATAAGACCTCCTCTAAAATCCTGCAGAGCAAAGATCATTAGCCCGCCATCTTTGAACTTTGTGTGAACATCTGCTTTTGATCTAACAACTATCTCAACTACAATACGTATTAAAAACATCACACTGAACCTCATAAACTCAAAGACTGCACACTTTCATCCTGAGGACCTTTTATGTACAGCACTAACTACTGATTGACCCTCATGAGCTCGATACCTGACTGAGTAATGTGATCTTTTAAAGTGTGCACTATCTTGTTGGAACCTTTTTTATTTTATTTATCGTCACAATGTTGATTATATAAACTTGCATGAAACCACCCTATGGCTTATTCTAAACACAGAAATGCATCATGTGAATCTGTTATTCAGATATGAAGAGTTTCATTACAGGAGGGAAAAATAACGATCTGATATCTAGAGCAAAAATAAAATCACTCATTCACTTTCATGCAGCAGTTTTGGGGGGTATCCCTATGTTTCCTCAACCCTATGTTTCCTCATTTCTATGACATTTCCCCCCCCATCAAAATTAGGCCCTATGTTCCCTCAGCCTAATGTTTCCTCAGCCCTATGTTCCTTAGCTCTATGTTCCCTCAGCCCTATGTTCCTCAGCCCTACGTTCCTCATCCCTATGTTCCCTCAGCCCTACGTTCCTCAGCCCTATGTTCCCTCATCCCTATGTTCCCTCAGCCCTACGTTCCTCAGCCCTATGTTCCCTCATCCCTATGGTCCCCTCAGCCCAATTTTCATAACTTTTCCCCCATCAAAACTAAGCCCTATCTTCCGTCATCCTAATGTTCCCTCAAGGATGAATCACTAGTGTGTAAAGACCGTTATGCTACATTCACACTAAAAGCAAAAATCACATCAATTGGTTAAGTTAAGGAATATCGGGCTGGGGTAACATAAACACGCTCCCATTTTATTCTCACTAATGAAACTCTCCATAAATGTTCTGAAGTTTGCATTTTTCTACATGATCCCACAGTGATGACATCAGGACAAAGCAGTGAGTTTTGCATGTATCGTCAGTAATAAAACACCCAGTAGGCACATTGTAGAAACATTGTCGTGCTAGCTCAGGGAAAATGCCATTTATTGTCTCTGATAGATGCTGTGGATTCAATAAGTCAACCTCATCTTCACTGCAGCAGTTCTCACTGACGCTGTTTAAGGATATTTACCTGAATATTTTCCTCCCGTCTGTTTCTGTCTGTACATTAACCTGTAGAATATCTCACCGCGGTTGCTCAGTTACTCTCTAAATTACGTGTGCTGTGTCCTTTCTAGTACTGTTTTCGGTGTTTTGAATGCATCCCGACATATTTGGCAGTTTTAGCTGCTTTTGCAATGTTTTTTACCCCCCTCACACCTTTGTCAGCTTCCTGCCTTTCATGTGTAGATATTTGCCAAAACGCATATTGCCAAACAAACACTGCTTGGAGCTAATCGCGCACACAGGAAATGAATGCAACTAAATCTACATGTCTGACTATAGCCATATTACTTTGGAGCATTAGAGGCAGTTGATGTAGTGCACTGTACAGTTGCACAATATCACAACTCATGTCATCTTACTGTATTTACCTCCTCTTTGAATCACTTGCTACATGTATATGTTGAAGGTAATGTTTGTAAAACTAAAGTTCCTGTTAAACACACAGGTGAGATATGTAGCGTTCACAGGTGAGGCGAGGTGATCAGGGAACAGATTGGCTGTATCGATACGGGTAGATGGAGCATGGCGTCTGTGTTTTAAAAGAGAAAACAGCTCACGTATTGAAAGAGCGTCACTCTCACAAGAGTATTGTATTTTTCTAAAGTTTACTCGAAAACGCCCTGTATTTGTACTCTGCACTGATGAGTGTAATTAAACATTTATTGCACATATTCTTACTCACGATTACAGTTATGCTCCTTCTAAATGTGTTTTTTTTTTCAGAACCCAATAATAACAGTGATGTTTTTTGTGTGACAGTCACCTTAGCAGTTCAAACTGAGAATTGTATATTACTGATATTCTTTGTTTTATGTAAAAGAAGAAGGAAAAATAAACTATTTCAATACTTATTGTTCAGGTGTTGTTTTGTGTGACGTATTATTTTTTTTGTATTTGACTGAATGAATGTAGCCATAAAAAGCTCCACACTTCAAATCAGGAGCGATTTCATGCAAAAACAACGGACCCGACAGTTGCATGTTTCCACTATATCCTCTGAGCTGGCCAGTATAAAAGGTGGATGCACAACAGAACAGTGAGTCCTGTTTACTTTTACCAATTTGTGAGAACATGTGGTGTGTGTGTTTTTTTTCCCGACAAATGCAAAGTACACAATTTGCTGATTAGCCTGCACCAACATGTCACAGGCGCTGGACCAGAGTTTCTCAAACTGGAAGCAAACTCGTGCAGGACTGCCAAACAGTGCAGTCAGATTAAAAGTAACACAAACAAACAAACAAACCAAAAAAAACCCAAAAAAAAAACATTGCATCTGTCAGTTAAAGCTGAACAAAAAGCATGAAAATTAAGACAGATGTTTGCATGGCTCTCTCTATCCAGCCCTCACTCCTACAAATATTCCATATCGTACAACTCATTTTGCAAGAAAGAAATTACAGACTAAATTACGTTTCCCACTAACATACAGGGTTTTTTTTTTAATTTAAAGTAGCTGCAGTTAAGTTGATAATGAACTTAAAAGTAAAATGTTCCCTTACAACGTATTTAATTGGTTTTCAATTCTACATATTATGTCCACGAGAAGTTACCACAAAATAACTCACTCTTGGAAATGGAAATAAAACACATAAAAAGTCAGCAGTAAGTTGAGACATAAACTTTTTTCTGCTAAAATAAAATAATCACAATCAAGTACTTTTTCCAGCGCACAGTTTGGTCCACACAGCCTCAACTTTCTCCTGAACTATCTCCATGAATGAGACAAAACAGCTGTCCATGTACAGCAGTATATGTATGACAGAGTTATAAGTATGATTAAACCCATGCTATTTTGTCCATTTATAGGATCAGAGAAAGACAGTTGTGGCAGCGTGCCATAAAGCAATTTGTTAAACCTACCCCCAGTAACAGTTGTATGCTATTAAAAAATAACTATATAGAAATATTGAATCTTCATGCTGATGGTATTGATAGCTTTTGCAGCTCGTAAAGAGGCAGCATGATCATTTCAGCCTGTTTCATAACCAACTAAAATCTTCTCAGTGGAGCTTTAACTGCAAGTTAAAAAGCAAACAGCCTCTCTGGACGTATCAAGGTCCTTTTAACCTTGTCTAGTTTGAGCTGTCAGAGTAAATTCTTTTAGTCCTGGAGTTTTACCATCTTTGACATAATGACTCCTGTTTGATTTATAGACATTCATTTAATAATGGGCCATGCATTATGAGCGTCCCCCAAAGACAGAAAAATGTCATATTTCACTTTTAAATTGGCTTCATTCTGGACATTGTGTTCAGAAAGCTTCACTTTAAAGATGGTCCCATTGTGTATGCAGTGTAGGTCTGATGGTCAGTCATCCTTCATTAGTGCTTCTGTTTTAAAAAGCTTCATGCATAATGCCTCCCAGTGTGCCATCACTCACATTATGACACTCTTCCTCTGCTGCATATTCAGCTAAATTGCGTTGCTTTTAGCGCTGATGCCTGACTACGACTGTATTTCACTCTAATGAATGAAAACTAAAGTAAAACCCTCAAATTAGAATTTTTACCCACTCAGTTGGAACATTTGTCTCCTAAAACCCTCAACCATCTTTTAATCTTGTGACAGCTTCAACGGCTGCCTGTTATGTCTTTTACTTTCACACCAGCAAGGTTTCCCTTTAATTATCCTCCTGAACGTCTCATTCCGGAGTAAAAGCGCCTCGCTCGATGTTGTAAATCTTGTCATTGCTTTAATGTAAATGACCGCTAGCTCATTTAAAGTTCCTCCAAAGTAGAATCATAACATTTAAGTGTGTCTTAATGTGTAATTATACAAGTTCCAATTAAGCTGATTAGAGCCGTAAATCACAAACAACTTCCCCGCAGCCTCTCGATGCAGTGCGTGTTTCACTCACTGATTATGAAGACTTTGAATGAGACTTTTCCGTTTAGCGTAGGATTTAAGCGGACTGAAATCTGCTCCTCTTGAGACCAATGACAAAGCAGAATGTGACCCTGCTTTGCAGCAGATCAGCAGTTTGTTTTGTGAAAGTTCTGCGTTGAGTCCTCAGTGTGTTAGTACTGTAGGTGAAGTTCATTACAAAGCACTTTTACGCCGCAGGTCACACCTACACATTCACACGCTGCCGCCGAAGCAGCGCAACTGGGGGTTAAGTGTCTTGCCCAAGGACACATCGTCATGTGGATGCAGGAGGTGGGGTCTGAACCCCCGACTCTACTGCTCAGCCAAATCCTATCCTTAAATTACAGTTTCTTATCTTACTGTTTTTATGTAGTTAGTTTGGATTCCAGATGTTTTTAATTTAATTGTATGGAGGATCTCTTCCTATCATTCTTATAAAGCATGTTTCTTTTATTTTGGGTTTTTGCAGCCTGCCTCAAGTGGAACTGCAGTTTCTTGCACTTCCTCATTGGCTTATTTTTTCAGCACAGGAAGTTGCTGCTTGGTTATTCCACTCTTGGCACTAAAATTCAAGCTTTTCGGCTTTTTTTTAAAGGTTTGCCAGGTTGATCACCTGATCAGTACCTCAATGGGTAAAATGAAGTATACCTGAGATAAAATTCAACATTGGAATAGAAGGGTGTCCATGCACGTGGATAAGCTGATTGAAGAAATTTCAAACTGTTAAATGGAAGAACCAGAGAAAAACACATTATTGCAGGGGTTTCAATTCTTCCAGGAGCTGTATTTGTTGTGGCGCGTACAGATTTCCTGCACTCCAACCTTTAACCCTTCTCCCCTCACTCAGACCTCCTCTTACTTTTGAAGGCGCACAGAGGCTCACCAACTATGTGAATATTCCCCAAACAATAGAGAACCAGCTACTGTATAGGGTCAACCAATCATATTATACCTGCCCCATTGTTGGTGACTTAGGTCTACTTCTTTAGGCGTCCCATATGAGCAGTCAGTCTTTTACTGTTTATCCACTTTAAGAACGTATCTCAATAAGTCAGACATTCAAAGTGAAACATCTTGGATAAAAATGGGAAAATGCCCTCATAGACATGGAGTGGCCCTTTATGAAATATTAGCACAACTTGTACTTCACAGTAGAAACTAATATGTTTCTGGTTTCAAAGACTATCTGAACCCCTTTTTCTATTCAAGAAGTGTCTCAGACGATGTTATTAGTTTTTGAGAAGCTTTGAAAATGTTCCTCGCTTCACAGAGTTTTATCACAGAGCCTTTTGTTGCACATTTTCATGTCTTTTTGCCACATGCTGAACCTTACAGCTATGTGCCTTCGTGTTTACCTCTAACTTATGATGCATTTCACTGCCTATTATATTCTCCTCAGGCACATGTTGTTTTTAAATCTCAGGTTTATGGCTGGTTCATAAAAAGCAGCCATTAAAGGTTCCACATAAAACTTTGGTTAAACAATCCTTAGGGGGGTTTCATGATCATTAAGCACATAGCACCATAACATGTTAACAAAAAGAGGAGTTTAAAAGAGTTCACTTTTGTCCAATCAGAGGTCAAATCGCATGAAGAAATTCAGATGTCATGAAAACAACTGTGTCTTACTTTTCCCCTTGAGCTATGATTTTTTAATCACTCTGCGAATGAAGTGAACTCGGCATAAGGTGTCATTGGTTGTTGAGATCCTGTGTGGATGTGTTTTTATGTTTATGCAAAAGCGACGCCAGAACCCAGCTGTCATCATGCCTGCCGTGGGAGATGGAGACACCACAAGAGCCAGAGAGAGAGCGTTCAGTCTGTCAGGTCATTGAAGGCAGCAGAGCCCACCGTGTCAGAGTGCAGCTGATGCCACAAATGGACCTCCAACCAGGTCACCTCTACCCTGCAACACAAAAGCAAAGCCTACAGGACCGAGAGACATGCAGTGGCCTGGTGTGGGGGTTGCCACCTTTAAAAAATCCTTTAATTGGAAATCATTACTTTGAATTTCTGCTAAAAAACAATATAGTTTAGCTTATATCTACAATATCTGCACACTGGGTATATCGCAATACCATACAATACAATTACATAACAACACTCTTCTTTTAACCCGCAGAGGGCGCTATATGCTTTTGGCATCTCTTGTTCTACGACAGCAGCTGAAGAAGGACAAAACAAAAACAATGTGCAAACATCACAAGAGGCAGATGAACCATACAAATAGACTAACCAACATGATACAGCATGCGAAATGACGCCATGCTGCAAAGCCTTTGACACTCCCACAGCTAGGTGTTTGTTCAGCCCTCTGAGTCTGCCTTCTCACTGTAAACAATAGGGCATGGAGCGAGAAAGCTAGAGCTACCCAAGCCCTTCCAGAGAGGGGGCGTGGTCAGACACAGCTCATTTACATTTAAAGGTACGGACACAGAAACAGCCTGTTCTGAGCAGGGCTGAAATAGAGGGGTTTATAGACATGATCAAATACAGGATCAGAGTGGATTTAGAACAAGAAACTTCACACACATGTTTTGTGGAGCTCTGAGATTTAATGAACTGGCTGAAAATGAGGAGAATATGTGACCTTTAACTGGAAAACAGACAAAGTGTTTTATTAAGGTTTAAGGTGATATAAAAGTTTGACTAGCACATTTGTCAGTCAACAGAAGAGGCCACTTGATCATCTGAATGATGATTAATTAACACATTCACTGTAATCATTTAAACTAAATCTGATTAAAGTATGCATTTTTTTAACCACTGAATCTGCGATGTTATACCAACAGCAGCATACAAAGGCAAAATGCCAGACACAATGTGCAAATAGTCTAGTGCAGTTATGTGGGATCATAGAGTAAACATTATATATTATGCATGATGCAATATGTGAGCATTTTGCAGATTCATACATAAATAACATAACCAAAACATCTGCATAATACCACCAATAGACTGGTTCTAAATTATTGACAGTCTTACAGATTATATGGCTCCTTTCCAAAAAAAAATCCTATTTGACAGGATATCAAACACTCATAAGATTGCAGTGGCCAATAAGGGCACTCGAGCTGCAATGCCCCAAACGATTTCCATCGTGACAAACAGGCTGCAAATGAAAAATAGACGCAAATTTAAAAGTAAATGCAAAATGCAAAATGTGCTGCAAATACTTGAATTCATGAAATATATGGATGAAAAAAAACACAAACTCTGAAAACAACTGCCCAAGAAAACACTGCATATTCAGCCATCACAACATGAGTGCTCCAGACCTATAGGGGTTTAGACAGTAGTGTCAGTAGGCCAGACAACCATTGGCACCAAGGATTAGGGGATGGGACCATAGGACGGGACCTGGCTGCAGGTGCAGTGTAGTTGACATATTACTCAGCAGTTAATTAAGATGACAGGATGAGTAGCCCAGCAGGCCTGCTGGTACTGCCACTGTCACTTGTGTTTTTACTCTGAAATATACATTGTGTTGCTCTCAATGAAATGTTGCCCTATAGGTCATTGAGTTTGTCTTCATAGATGCATCATCAGTGCATAGCTTAAACACAAACAGGCAAGACAGCTGGATTTAATGCACATTTCAAACACAGAAGCAGTACGACCAGGGCCGGCTCTTTGCATAGGCCATATAGGTGGTCGCCTAGTGTGCAGCATGCTGGAGAGGTGCCGAAACCTCCCCTAGGGCACCAAAATGGCTGGAGCCAGCCCTGAGTACAACAAGCTTTACAATGGCATCTAAAAACAACAAGTTTAATTAAAAAACAAAATGATAACAATGAGCTGTGTAAAATACAGTTCAAATAAAATATGAAATAAAATAGATGCAGTGCAGGAATTGTGTAGTAATTTCTAGCTTCAAATAAACATGCAGTACAACAAATCCTAAGTCAAGAGACACTATTCATTACTCTGATTTTGTCAAAGAAGAGTTCTGTTGTTTAAAATTGAAGCCAGCTTTACAACCTGTATCACTTCCTGACCTTTGTTTTGTTTTGGAAGCATCTTTAATTTTGTTTGCACATATCTCTTAAAACTTTCAATAAATCACACTCATAAAATGATAAAAGGAGTAGATGTTATTATCTCTTAGATGGGGGGGAGGGATAATAAAGCTCTTTTCAGCTCTGAGATTGGTAAAACTCTGATTGGGGACCTTGGAGGTCGAAGCATTGAATCTTTTGATGTCAGTTTATAATCTAATTTCAATAAAACGAGGGGCTATAAATAACGCAAATAAAGAGTCTGGAGGTTATTGTGTGTAGAAGACAGATTTAAGATGGAGTAAACTGAAGGAGACATTTTTCTCTGTCTGTTTGACTTTGTTAAAGTTTTATCCAAATGAAGAAATAATTTAGTTTCAGCAGCAGCCGCAAACGGAGTACGATAAGTTTGCAAACTACTTATATTAAAACACCCCAACAGTGGATTCAATAAGGTTTCTCAGTTGTTCCTGATTACACGTTGCACAGAAAAGTCGTGCACGTGCGCGTGTGCGTGCGTCAGCGTCGGATAAGAGAGGTGAAGCATCGCAGGAGGTGTCAGGCTCACCATGCAGGGCTGCCAGCTGCTCCTCTGCGCCTCAGACCCGGAGAAGCTCCGCCGCTCATGTGTCTGCTCAGAGTCACAGTAAGCGGACCATGCGGCTGTTCAGCGTCTCCACTCTGCTGCTCTTCTTCTCCAGCTCAGGTACGGACACACAGCCTTCATCTGCCAACACTACACGGGATTAAAACGTGAATTTGTAAAACGATTGACTCCAAAACTTCCAAACCAGCGTGTTTTTGGAGAAGGAGCGCAGTGGCTGTGCGGGGGGGTGTTGTTTTACGCGCAAAGCTTGGAGCGTCCAATGACACAAACGATGTCTTCCTTCTTACCTCATTTTGGGTTTTGGCATGTAATTAAAATGGTTATGGAGGGGTCAAATCTGGATTTTCTTAGATTACACTGTCAGTTACTCTCTATTGGCACCCTTGTTTATGGTTTTGGCTGCGCGCTCCCGTGCGTCTGATACGATCCAGGTGGGTTTTTACGGAGACTGTTGATCCACATCGCAGAGACCAGTCTGTTTCTAAACTGTGACATGTCCACTTGAAACTAAATGCTTATTTATCGCATGCAGTATTATGCAGAGATCGCAGCAGCACAGTGTAGGTGAGGCATTGTAATTCCTGTGTCAAGTGCTGGGCAGCGGTGACAGATGAGCCTACTAAAAGTGGCAATTCGAAATCCTGAAAAGCGGCATTAAAAAAAAGGGGGAGTCGAGATGTGATATTCTCTTATTAAAATGTCATTAAGTTTTTGTGTAAAACCAGGTGTGGGTAAGGCATTGACATGCATGGCGCTTTATTGGCAACTTCGACAACTGAAAATCTGTCGCACAAGTCCATCTGCTTAAACGGTAAACCATTACTGAATGTTAATTGGCTGCAATGTTTGATTCATAACTATTAATTGGAAGCTTAAGTCTAACTAATGTTGATTAACTGTGAATTATGAGGTCCTTTTGTCTATCGTGTCCTTTTCAATGCCAGCAGCATGTTTGATGCTCCAACAAATGCTTGCATGCAACACAAGGAAAAAAATAAATCTATGGAAAGCAGTGTTTAACTTGCATGCATCACTTACAATAATCAAATTTTTTAAGGATCTATCATAAATTACTGTAGCTCACAATTTTTTCAGGGTTGATAGATTAAAAAAAAAAGTCTTACTTTCTAGGTTTATTTATATGATTTTTTTTTTTTAATTTACAACTTGAGTTTTATTGTATATCAAGGTAGAATTAAAATTTCTTAGAGCTGGTCTAGGCAACTTTGAAAACACATCAAGATGAATACAAGACTGTATTCAACCTGGAAGAATCCTAAAGCCACTCCTTCAAACACATGAACATGCTCTGCATCATTTGGAGTCCATGAAGACGTTTTTGGAGAGAGTTGCACAGGTTCCATTCTTATCATCGCTAACCATATCAGACTAGTTTTATCAGCCACTGGGTGTGACAGTATGTAGCGGTGGCTTGTGGAAGACTGCTCATGTGTGATGAGAATGCAGCAGAGTGCACGCAGGTATGGGCAGGATGAGAGGATGACATTCTGGCAAAGGTACTGGACCTAATAAAGCCTGCATCAGCCAAAGACATGGTATCATGTTCTTCTTTGCTTTTGCTGTGCAAAAATAATAATTACAGCAAATGACAGACTTTTTTCAGCAAATATAACAATAAACAAGTTTGAAATGAGTTGTCTGACCTAGTTTTAATCATAGACTTTATATTAGAGGAACGGAGCAACAGCTGACTAGAAGTGAAGCCAGAATATTAAGAGCACCTCCTGCAGACTGGCGGCAGTAAAGGTCATTAGCTCCACCTCCTCCATCATAACAGATGGAACATGGTTCAAACTATAAAAGTGAAATACATGTCTGATACAGTTTTGTCAAACCAAGTTCCTGCTGTCATAGTCAGCTATTAGTATGCTTTTGTTTAAATTTGATATAAAAGAAGAGTAGGTTTAACACCATGATTGACAGCTCTGTTGACCAATGTGGCTCCTTGAAGCGTTCTCAACTGGATCAGCAGAATAGAGGAGAAAAGGCAAGAATGAAAACTAACAATACAGTCATTAAACTTTCTCTTAGCATGTGTCTCTGCTCCAAACCGACACAAGAATCCGTTCTGCTGTGGACTGTACCGTTCGGAGGGATGGTTGATGTTTTATCAGCATGTTAAATGTTTGCTTCAGTTTAGGAAGGAGCATGGCTTCAAGCCGGCTCCCTTATGCGCATGTTTTGGCTCCAAATTACGTCTCAGCATATGATTTGCACTTTAATTGTAAAATATAAATAATGTCACATTTCTTGCCATCTCTGGTGTACGATCACTGAAATGGTCAAGTTGTAAATGGTATCTGGACTGCATTTATACTGCACCTTTCTAGTCTTCTGTCCACTTAAAGGGGATTTTACACATTTGTCATCCTCACCCTTTAACACACATTTACACACAAGGCTGCTAACCTTGAATTGTGATGCAATGTTGCTCATTTGCAAACACACACACACACACACACACACACACACACACACACACACACACACACACACACACACTCACACACACACACACACACACACAGTTTTTCAAGAACTTTTGGGTGCAGTATCTTGTCCCACGCTCCAGTTGACTACAAGTATTTCTTCTCTGAGGGAGACTTTTATGATTTATCAGATTTGATATGACTGACAGATGCCAGAGCCTGGTTACTCAGAACACTATAATGACAAACATTGCAAAATTAAACAGAGGCTCCATGAAAAGCCAAAATGTTAAAATGGTGCTGTAGTCAGAAGAAAATGATTGTCGTAAACTCTTTAACCTGAGGGTTTTCTAAGGATAAATGGAAAACTGTAAATTATTCTGAATAAATTTGACTTCTTAAGGACACTCGGTGAAGCAAGTCTGCTACAAACAAACATGTATTACAGTCCAAAAAGTAAAATTTCAACTATCAAAGCCAAACATGATGAAATGTTGCAACAACATACTGCTGAAATAAACTGGCAACTCGAATGTTGTTAAATAATTAAAACATGTCTGTCACATCAAGAAACCAAAAAGTAAGAGTATTTTCCAAACTGAGCCTGTGTGTGTGTGTGTGTGTGTGTGTGTGTGTGTGTGTGTGTGTGTGTGTGTGCGCGCGCCTGTGGGTTGCAGGGCTGGCTCTGCAGATTCAGTGTTACCAGTGTGAGGAGATGACACACGACTGCTCCACGCCAGAGTTCATCGTCAACTGCACCGTGAACGTGCAGGACATGTGCCAGAAGGAGGTTCTGGTGAAAGATGATGGTAAGTCACATCTCCGGACTCACATCATTCTCACTTTCTGCTTCATTATCTGTCAAAATATCTCAGAGCAGAACAGACACCAGAAAAATCTGGATGGATTGGCCTCAATTAGTCAATGATATGGTCAAGAGATTTCAAATTCAAACCTAGGACATCTGCAGAGATTTTATCATTTAAAGTTTCAATTATTTAAATGAATTTGACAAAGTGTTAATATAACACAAGTTAAACAGTAAAAAAAGGAATAAAATTGGGCAACCTGTGTTGTCTGCAAGTACAACAAAAAATCTCAGAGATTGAAATTTTACTAACAGGATAAAAAAGACCTGTTGGCTGAAATACTTGAAGTAAATACTCAAATATGAATCTTACATTAAAATCTGTCGATATGTTTTAAGAAGGGATTTAAAAGACAAAACTGTTTTTATGTTTGTCTTGTGCAGTTGCAGCATCAGGGTGCAGAGTGCAGAGTGTATTATGTTGCTGAGACAGTTATCTTTTCTAAATTAATCAAAATATCTTCTCCAAAAACATCTACTAAAATGAAACCAGGGAAATCATTTTTGTTTCTGATTGAAGTAGAAAACAGAGACTCTCAAGTAGATTCAGCCAGAGGCCAGAATCTCTGTGATCGGATCTAAGGTCAGCAGCTCAATGCCTTTCAGTTCTCTGTCAGTGGAGGATGAGAGTCTATAGGTCATTGGTTCCCATCCGAGTGGGGGTGCCAAAGATCTCAGGGGGATGCCAGGCTGTCTCTGCTCAGAGGTTGTCAAAATTATATTTGCACTGATTAACTAAAATAGACTTTAAACTAGTGTTTGTTTGTTGTTTTTATTTAGATATCCATTAACATCCGTTCAGCTTTGAGGGCCTTTCAGATAGGATGCAGTGTGTGCTGCACTCGCCGCAGAGTAGAGTGACCGAAACAATATTGTAGTTGGGAAAATAGCTACTTTTTGGTTACACAGTATGTTTGTATCCGTCCACTATTCAGTAGAAAGCTCAGGCCTTCTGCTGAGGAGGAGGAGACGAGCAGTAAAGAAAAAGGTGTGCGTTCATGAACGCCAAGGGCACGGCAGGATTTGGGGGAGTTTAGGCTCGTCCAGGAGCTGCAGCTCTACAGTGTAACGACCACTTCACAAGAACCACACACATTTCTGCTGCTGTTTTAAAAACACCTGGCACGCCCGAACTGTTGGACATGTCTTTACAAACTAGAGATTTCCTGGTCCTGGTAGGTCTGTAAACTAGAGCTCAGGAAAGTGAGACACCGTTTGTTGTGATCTGATCTTCCCTACTATTGAGTAACTATAGAGTAACCTATTAACTAATGCTTGGCTATTGCTAACTAGTGTGCTATTATAAAGGGTTAATTCATATGTTTGGAGCTGCTTCTGTATCTTTGACAATCATTTAGATGATTTTCTTTTTATTATTGCCCACGCTTATCTTATTTAGTAAAGATTTATATCCTCCCGTCATGCAGGATGGAATGTCTTTAGAAAAAAATCTGTGCCCACTTGAAACTCTGCTTTGAATGTGTGAACACACTTCTAAGTTTGGGCTATTCACCCTTTGAGTTTGCAGCCTTTCACGACTTTTCCATTGTAGTGCTGCCTCTTTAGTAATGAAAAATGTGTCTCTGCTGTGTTTACAGGCCTATTTGCTGCTGGTTGTTAGAACTCAGACAATAAAGGTCACTCTAACGCCGCAGGTCTACTTTGTTTTCACACCCAGCAAAAATTAAGGGTCATTTTTTCCCCTGTCTTTACTGCTGATGAGAAAAGGCAATAAGCTGCTGTCTTTGGAAAATGCAGTTCCCAATCTAAAGGGCAGGCACACGGCACTATGGAGTCGACAGCTCTTTAATAAGAAAATTTCCGCATGAATGCTCATGTACATCCCAGCCTTTATCTCTGAGTGTTATCATTATTGCTGCTCTGCAAGAAAAGGAGGGCTTAGAAACTCAACTGACCGCACCTTATCGCTATTTGAAATGCAATAGATATATTAAAAACTGCACTGCCACCTCAGTGAGTGTGCTAAAGTGACAAGAATAAAAATCAGTCAGGCTGTTTGAGTCTCCCTAAGTATCTGTGCCCTGTGATTGCCTCTAAAGGACTTTGACTTTGCAAGCCATAATCTATCTGCTATGTAGATAAAGGACGAAGAAGCGCCAACATACATCTTCGATTGGGCTATTTTCCATCGCTTGCCTTAAAGGATAACTCCTTCTGTACGTGGATGGCATTACTATCCATCTTCATCACGGCTACAACAATGACCTCAGCTCAGAAAGAGGCCAGCAGAACTTCAAGGTATCATTCAGGAGTAAAAAATCCCCTTTCAAAGTACCAGGACTCTATTCGGATGAAGGCAATTTTTCTTTCAGGCAGCGTTAGACAAGACTGGCTTCCTTTTCCATCCCATCCTCTATAACTATCATTATTGTCCTCCCTCTGATTGAACCATGAGAAATGATCAGAAGTGCACTTTTACCTCGCTGAGGACTGTTCCACTTTCTTTGAAGGAGGGTGATCGCTACACTCCAGTGCGCCATATTATATTTCATTGTCCTCTGCCCTTATTCAAAATAGGGGGGGTATGATTTACTGTACTGTAAATAGCCATCCTTTAATATGTAGAGGAAATAGAGGATTTGGGACTGAAGTCATGTTAAAGCAGACATTAATGCAAGTATTAAAGAAAGGAATCATAAACTTGGCATCATTTTCCCACTGTCCAATTGAACAGCAACTAAAAAAACTATTGAAAGTGATACATGTTCCTCTGAGCAATGTTAACAGAAAGTGTTTCACAATTTGAAGGAAAACACATGAATTCATTTTTTTTAACTTGTTTCCACATGGAAAAGATTTCCTAATTGATTTTTTCGCAATTCATTTGTTCTAGCTTATTTTCACAAATACATTTTTAGCTAGGGCTGCATGGTGGTGCAGTGGTTAGTGCTGTTGTCTCACAGTGAGGAGGGAGGGTTCCTGGTTCAAATCCCCATCTGACAGGAACCTCTCTGTGTGGAGTTTTCATGTTCTCCCCGTGCATGTGTTTGTTCTCTCCGGGTACTCCGGCTTCCTCCGACAGTCCAGAGACATGCTCGTTAGGTTCATTGGTGACTCTAAATTGTCCGTAGGTGTGAATGTGAGTGTGGCTGGTTGTCTGTCTCTATATGTCAGCTCTGTGATTGACTGGAGAACAGTCCAGGGTGTGCTAATGGTTTATAAGGTGATAACGATGCCTTTTAAACACATAGGTTTGTATGTATACAAAACTTGTACATTCACAACTGCTTTGAGCTTGATCAATGTTATTTCTTGATGAAATTCATGTTTTTTATCACTAAAAAACTGTGAAAGATGTTATTATCCCTGCCTACCATTCATCAGATCGACATCTTTATGTTGGCTCATATAACCTCCGCCGTCTAATTCACCTCGTAGTCAGGTTTGATTTAACTGGATAATAAACCTCAAAGACCAGGCTCATACATACTGATGATATACCACTCTGTAAAGGAAACTGTTTTTTATATATTTAACAAGGACAGTCAGGTGACTTTTATCAACAGTATCTTGTTTTGAAGCGAGATACAAAAGAACAAAGGAAGTTTTGTTACCCCAGTTATCTTCAACCTGGTTTTAAAGAGGACATATTAAACCCCTTTTCCACCTTTTCAAACAAACAGTCCCCTGTGGTCTAAGTGAAACGGCTGTACTGTGATTTGGTCAAAATATAACATGAATCAAGCACCAAAGGAGGTTTGTGACCCTGTATAAACCAGCTCTCTCAGAACGCTCAGTTTTGGTGTGTGTGTCTCTTTAAATGCAATGAGCCCCCCCCTGAGTTTTCTTGCTAGACATCACTCCTTCGGTAGCGAGTATAAAAATTGCGGACCTGCGCTAAAGTTTTGCTCTAGACTGGGTGGAGAAACCAGGGAAGGGGAGGGGATTTTTTTTTACAAGAATCCCACTGTGACATCACAAGGAGAGCGCATTTGAAACTGAGCATTATTCTCTGTGTTGTAAGACTTATGCAGCCCACAAACAAAGGACTGGATGGGTTTATTTCACATTTTGTTGGGCAAATATATGCTCAAAAACACTGGAGAAGTGGATTTTTCATAATATGCCCCCTTTAATACTTCTGTCCGAACATTAATACACATTATCAGTGCTCGTCTGATTCATTCGGCTAAGATCTCATCGAGAGAAGCAAACAGAAGTTGGACATATTGGACATCTCACTCTACCCCGTGAAGCTGCCAGTGCTGATTCTCATTAGACCAAACTGTGTGACTTTCCTCACTGCAGAACTTGATAAGATTTTTCACCCTTCCCCAATAAATTAAGTGAGCAGCATGATTCAGGCTGAAGAGCTGAATCTTTGAATTCCCACGCACAGATTGAATGAAATCACCCGAAAGCACTTCAAACATTATTAAATGTTTGTTTCCCTGTTATGCTATTTGAGATTCACTTTTGTGATATTTGCTCAACAATTTATATATATATATTCACCAATTGGTCAATACAGGTTATTCACTGTGTATTAGGTCAGGGGTTCAGAAACCTTTTTGGCTCTCAATCCCCAAAATAAGGGTGCCAGAGACTGGGGACCACCAGTATATTGTTGCTTTGGCATGCTGAAAATAAATGAATATTTAAACTGTAGGAAAAAAAGAAGCAGAAACAGCACAGCCATGTTTACATTTGGAAGCAACACCTTAGCTTTTTCCGTAAAGACATTTTAAAATATGTTATGTGGTGAAACTGGGAGTCTAAACTTTTCCCTAAAGTCCCAAAATTCCATCAAAGCTCCTCCAACCCTTGTCCTGAGAGAAAGTTTATTCAGCCAGATGTCAAAGTACTTTGTGGGTATGAAAAGCTTTCACTCAGACGCTATAAAGAGATCTCAACAGCATTACGAATAAACAACATAATACTTTTTTTAAATTGCCAAAATGATGAATGTGAACAGACTGAGAGGAATTACAGTAAAGACGTGTTGATCCAAAGATTCAGTTAATCCTTTTAATTATTTCATCATCCTTTAAGTTTCCTTACAGATGGTTCAAACTGAAAGGAATTGACATCAATCTGAAGAAAAGTCTCCGCTCTACTTATTTATTTCCAATGTTTGTTTGATAAATCCCCGCTCTTAGATGTGTTGAGTTCTCAAAGACAGCAGAGAGAAAAGTAACTCTCAGTTGGACAGTTGTGCTTCTTACTTTTTACTGGTTTAAAGCTGTTCTGGGTGTTTATGTCGTTTAAATTGCTCGGATTATCATTGTGTCAGATCAGAGAGAGGTTAAAGCCTGAAATCCCACACAATGCACAATCATTTTGACCAATTTTCATACTTTCAACATTGTTTGGTGTGAGTGAAGCAAAAGACAAGAAAGCGTGTTATCTAACTATTTTAAATAAGTCTATGAAAGCAGATGAAGTGCTAGAGAAAGCTGCACTGTTAAAGGAGAGATTAACATTCTAACAAAATAAGTAAGATATCTACTAACTGAAATGATAAAGTGAGCTTACTATATGATCAGACATTAAGGAAACATGCTATGTTGACAACAATGCAGCTGCCAGTATGTCGTCCTTCTAACTTTAGATTCTGGTCCTGAATGATCTGGATTTGTTTGGACCAGAGAAGGTAGGCGGTTTTAAGGCACCCCCACACGGCCGTTTTGAATTCTGCAAGAATTTTGCAAGGCAAAAGGCAAACCAACAGGTGTTGCAGTGAAGCTGGCAAGAGAACTGGTTCAGATAGAAGTGATTGTACCCGGCCTAAAAAGCCTCTACATGTTTCTAATAAGCTCCACGAGCAGAAATGTGTTCAATATTGGAGATGCTTTTGAAAAATGGAGAGAGGTTAGAACGCAGAAAGGTTTACAGACCGATGCAGAGCTGGCTAAACACTGAAGCTTCAGTGTCCACCTCGCGGCAACCTGCGTGAGCATGGACTCTAGAGAGGAGGGGGGGGGGGGACAGCTGGAAATGTCAACTTCAGTACCCATTTTAAACACTAGGAGTTTTGTAGTTAAAGTGTCAATTAACAAAAGAAAGATTTTTTGACAACACCCACTCTAATCTTTAATGTTAATCTCACTGAAAAATGCACCTTAAAATATATGGACAGACTTTTTAAAATTGCATTACCTCCAAATAGACACTGATGTACCTTACCAAAGAAATCATGCTGTGCAGCTACATATCTCTAATTAGTACAGGTGTATGATCTATATTGTTTATAGGTTTTTATTCTTATTCTTGCACGGGTTGATTTAAATTGTCCTGGTCATTATTGTCACATTTTTAATTGTACGGGTTAAATATTCATCTATGTTGGGCTTTCTACATTTTGTGTGGTTTTATAAACATACAGGGGGCAGTTAATTGTAACGATGTTTCATGTCATGTGCGTTTTGTAAGCTGTGACTTGATGATTTAAATTTCCCTTGAATCAACAAAGTATTTAAAACATACTAAGGCTATAAAAGAGCTGAACTAATATGATGAAACATTAAAACCTTCTGACAGGTTTTAAGTTTAAAGAAAGTTTCAAGGTAAAAGTATGAAGAAGCTGAAGAGGAGAGCATGAACGAGGACTTGCATGCTGATTAATGATCCATGTGATCGCTGAGTGATTGTTCGAGGTGAGGAAAGCCATCAAATCTGTATTCTCTGTCAGTGACACTTCCTCTTTACTGTAGCTCATTTTCCACTGACTGCCTGAGCTGTCGTCTTGTTCCAAATACTGCAAGCTCTTACCTCTGCATTGTTTTACTTTGTTTCACATCTTTGTCCAAAAGGTTTCTTTTTGAACCCTCTTCAGCTAATCTTAGTTTTGGGTAAAAATGATACCCTGGGAAATGTCTGCCACACTTTAAGAGTCACGCAGCTAAAATTAGAGGTTTAAACGCAGCGTGACTCAGGTTTTGATCTCCACACTTTTGTAAGAAAAACGGGACATTTCCCTCCAGATCTCTGCAACATTTCACACCACATTTCCTCTGGATTACTCAGCACCTTCTGGGACCTTCTCTGGTATTTGCAGTATAAGGACATGGGAGGATGCACAATCTAAATGAACATGCAGTTCTGTGGGTGTTACTGTGCTGGTATCGGTGCAGAGAGGACACAAACACACACACACACACACACACACACACACACACACACACACACACACATTACAAGGGCTATTGAATGTTCATGAACTCTTGTCTAACTTTCTTGAATTAAAATGAAATAAAATGTCAGCCAAATGTTAAGGCCTCCCTCCACTAATCCTGCAAACAACTCTGACATGTTCCAACGAGCTCTGTGTGCAGGAGACCCGGTGAGGCTTAGGAGTAATAGAAAACAACAGACACAGCCACTGAGCCACAGCCGCCCCAGTATAATGTCCCTAACCCTCTTTAAACGTGGCATTATCATTAGGTCAATCCTTTTGACTCATATCCTTAATTTCAAGTGAATCATTTCTTTAAGGTTGAAAACTTTACGATACTTAAACACAAAATATGAAGTTATTTAAGTATTTAAGAGTCTGCTGTCACAAAAATCAACTGTTTATATTTACTTATATCTATAAATGTATTTTATCCCAGTGCACCCCAGGGCACCCGTCTGATTTAGAAAACTCACGCATGAGGGAATGTTTTACTGAAAAGCAGCCCTGCTGAGATTTGGTCTCACAGCCGTGCAGTACATCATCTCCACCTTGAGTGTGGTATTGTTTTTACACAACAGAAAGATTTAATATCCATTTTATGAAATCATCTTGTAGTTATAGAGCTTTTTGTTTTGATTACATTTGAAGCGAAATATTCTCAGTGAACTGCTGCAACATTTGAAATCTTCACTAAAGGGTTAATCGTTCGCCACTGAGGGTCTCCTCTTAAATTCTCCCCATTCAATCAAATAAAATCATTGTGAATGTGAATTATTTCTGCCCTGTGGAGATAAGTCAACCTTTGTGAGATGGTTTCCTTTCAGAGCAGCTTGGACTGTCACTCTAAATATTCTTTTTCAGTATTTGGGGATTTCTTTCTTTTCACCAAACTGCACAGAAGTGTCACATCAATTATCGCACAAGTGACCATAAATAGGACCGAGCTGGTCTGGGTTAAAGACAGGAAACTTTCAATTATAAACTTTTTCTTCACAATACTTAAGCTTTGAGGTTCGGATAAAGGAAGAAAAAGAGTCTTTAAGGAATTTAAAATCCAGCAAGACGACCCATTTGAGTTCAGACTATAAGTCATTCAACAAGAAAATTCAACTGTGCAATATAAAGAAAGGTGTATGCTGTGAGTTACCATTGTTCATGCAAAGATGCTTCTGTGAAATCTAGAGTTTATGAAATTGTGTAGTTGATCATGAAGTTACTACTCTCCTTACTGTATTCACATGTGAAGCTGATGTTGATAATAACTACAGTTGTACGACAATTTGACATGTTTTTATTATTTTTAATTACTTTTTTAGGTTTTTATTTTTCGGCCTTTATTGGAGAGACATGATCGGGGCTAGAGTTGGAAATTGGGGCCAGAGAGAGAGAGAGATAGTGTGGAATGACATGTAGGGTAGGAGCCACAGGTCAGACTCCCCGGGCAGTCTGCTTCCAGGACTATAGCCTCTGTACATGGAGCATGCAAACTAACCACAGCCTCCAGTTTCACATCTTTATATAATGCAACATAACATTATACAAGTCAAAGTCTTAATTGCTCCCTAAAGCCTAGCGTAAACTACTATACGGTTGGATGAAAGTCGTGGTGAAATGTCAGCTCACACTGTACGACTGAATCGTTTACAACCCCCGCCCGAAGCTCACTATATAAGCATAGTCAGGCTAAAGTTGAGTTAAATAAGGACGTAGTTGAAGTCAGGCCTGTATTTCAGTTTTCTCATATGTATGGCTCAAATACACAGACCATCAGAAGTGATCCCACTCTCTCTTAACACACACACACACACTCAACATCACCAACAAACACGAGCTAACTAACAAGCCAAATCATACCAAATATTCCCTGTCAGCTGGAGGTCTGCTGCTCTTTCCTGCCAGCGTTTCTCTTTCTGTGCAGTCTCACTATAAATGTTCAAACATGGGTCAGAGCTGTATGTTAGTCCTTCAAGAAGACAAATAGCTGCTGCACACATCAATGCACTTTTCACACATCTGTTCTTAATTTGATTAAAAGCCATGTATACACAACAGGGGGACAATGTTGTAACAGGGAGGATTCTATGGTGAGGTACATACAGTAGCACAGGGCTGGTCAGGAGTGTGACATTGTAGCACCTGTAAGGTGTGAGATCCTGCATTATAACAGGGACTGTAGAAGAAGTCATAACCAGCGTGTATGCTGTGCATCATAATAAAAATGATCAGTTTGATGAGCTTCCGTATGGATGCCGTTCTTTCTAAGTTGACTCACTGGAGCCGCCTTTGTTTGAAAAAAATAACAAAGCTTGCAAAACCAGAAGCCTTCTTTGTGCCATTTTTATTGGGGATCTTTGTTCATAAAGAGTAAAAAAGAAAGGTGGACTTTCTTTCATTCAAAGACATAATCGACTGCATGTTTTTACAGATCTTTAAGCACACAGTTAGAATTATGCATTCTCTTGAAGTTGTCCCCTTTGTAGAAGTTTAAGATGTTATTAGACTCAATTACATGCCCCCTTCTGCCACTTTCTTTGTCTTTAATCCCTCTCCCTCTCTCTCTCTCTCTCTCTCTCTCTCACACACACACACACACACAAACACACACGCACACACACACACACACACACACACACACACACACACACACACACACACACACACATCATCTAATCCTCTCATTACGCTCCTAATGCCATCCTGTGTCCTTGTTTTAGGTATACACTACCGTAAATCCTGCGCCTCTTCAGGAGCCTGTCTCATCGCCTCCTCTGGGTACCAGCAGTTCTGCACCGGCAAACTCAACTCAGTGTGCATCACCTGCTGCAACACGCCGCTGTGCAACGGACCACGCCAGAAGAAACGACCACAACCGTCTGCAGCCATGACCCTGAGCACATCGCGGCTGCACGTGCTTCTCCTCCTCCTGTTGTCCGTCCTGTGCTGACAGGCCTTCATGTACTGACATAAAATGTGAATAACGACATGGAACTTTATCAGCTAGGACAATGAAGACTTTGACATGCATACTCTTCAAGGCGTGTGGAAACTCTGTACAGTATTTGTTCGTTTCACTCCCTGGATTTATGTCACAGCTCACTTCTAAAGCTCATGAGGTAAAAATAAATATTGTCGGCACATACCTGGAAACTCTTATCAGCATGTCTCCTTCACAAATATGATCTTCTCAGAGCTACAAAGGTGGCTGAGTAAGGTGATGTGGAGGACAGTGCGATGGATGAAACAGCTTCTGGCTGTTTTGCTGGGCGGCAGGTGGCTCGGTCTCATGTGTTTTGTTTACTCACACTACAAGAACAAAACAAATTGTTCTTCAAAATAAATGGCTCTAAACTGGAACCGTCATCACATTTGCTGTAATTATTACGTAAAAAGAGAATGTGTGATGTGTTTGATAATGATGCTGTTTAATGATTGTGGAGGGTATTGTGCCGTAGGGGGGACGAAAAGGTATCTGAAGAAGAATTCAAGCCTGTTTTCACTCCCAGCTTGTCAAAAAACAGCAGCTCCTTGTGCTTCAAAATTTGACGTTGAAGGTTCCCATGCAGCCTCTCTCTCTGGACCCTCTCGTAGTCTTTTATCTGTTTGATGCTCTTAAAGTCGGGTAATGTAATATGTAGAGGAAGTCTGCTTTCTGTGGCAGGAAGACAAACAGAGGTTGAAGAACAGGGGTACCACTGGAAAGGAAAAACTTCCTTTTAGGCCTTTAGTGTCCGCTAACGCCTTTTTCTTTTTCTCGCTGGTAGCACTCATGATCTCTGTTTCAGAGCGCTTCTCACCACCGTTTATGGTTACGAAAGTTGACCCACACTTCCCTCTGTATTTAGCGTTAGGTCGGTTTTAGAAAGCTCTGTGTGCTTATTTTTTTACTTTTATTCAAGGACCAAGAAGAAAACATGACAACAATGTTAACGTATCGTATCCTGGCATGAACAGGAGCTCTTTACCATGAAACTGTACCCTCAAACAGACGAGTCAGATTAGTGTCTCCTACACCATTGTTTTTGACGAAGCTGATCTATCTTCTTGATTTTTATTGGGCCACACACTGGAAGCTTCTGGAAAGTCGTAAAGTTCTGTTTTTCATTTGCCTACAAATATTGTACATAAAGCTGTGAGCATGCAGATTTCTACAAACATGATACAAACTTTGGACCACATGCTACTGCATCAAAAATGACTGAAGGTGGATCAGTATAAAGCATCACATATGAACAGGAAGTATCTGCAGCACCTACATGTCGCTGTGTTGTTGTATGTGCATCTTTTGGTTGTTCCACCCAAAGGTCAGTTTGGGAAGAGAAGGAAGTTTCTGAGGTAATCCTTTAAAGGTTTACTATACGACACTCAGAGCAAATTTTCAGACCAAAACAAATGCCCCCCACCCCACCTCCTGTCTCCACACTCTCCTCACCCGTCTGTCAGGTGTCATTATTTCTGTAAGGCAGAGAGAGCAGCAGACAAGAGCTAATAAACATATGAACACAGATCAGTTTCTACATTTTGTCTTTTGTGGTCGTACAAAGTATTTTCTTCTGTTTTGAAGGTCTGTTGGTTCTCCTTTATAAAACCTCTACACACAGCTTCCCTGAATGGGCTGGGGGGGGGTCGTTCTTCCCCGCACGTGGTGGCAGGGCTAACAGTTAGAGCGGGAGGGGTTCATGGAAAATAACATGTATGAAACACAGGGGTGTGAATCGTTCAATATCTCACATGCTTAGCACAGTGAGTCTTGCACTTTATTATTTAGTATAAGAAAAATGATTTTGACGTTATAAAAAAGATCAATAAGATGTGATCAAAAGTGTTCATACAACTTTTATATCTGTATTCTGTTTATATATGTTTTTTATCAGTTGATTGTAATAATGTTAACACAGGGGAAAAAAAAACTAAAACAAGAGATAACATTAATTTATGCTTCAGTTGCAAAATACTTCAATATGAATAAAATGTGTGGACTTAAGACAGATAAATAAGCATTTATCAGAAAACTTGCCAGTGAAAAAAGACAGGTATAATTGAATAATGGTATTTTAATGTTCAGAATGTCAAATATTGAACCTTTAAAGGAAGAATGTGCAATATTTTACGCATAAATATGTCCTTATATATCCTCTGTAAAAGTCTCTCTGAGTCATGACTGTCTACAATGAGTGAGAAGCTCGAGTCCCGCTGGCTGTGTTGTTGTCAGAGCCGTGTTTACATGGACGGGACGGCCGGCTCCTCCCCTTGTGTAAAAAAATCTGTTTTAGTCGAGGACTAGAGAGAAGAAGAAGAAAGAAACTCACTGCCTTTTTGTTAAGCATTTTGACATCACCATCAATCAGATTCAATTAACATGCTATGTGAAGCTACGACCTAAAGAGCGCTAACATTAGCCTGCTAACACAACAATGCAGGACAGGGCGACATCTACTGGATCAAAAAGTTGCACATTCTTCCTTTAAGAGTTTGAAAGGGGCCCCAATGACTTCACTTCTACATCTAATTCTTATACAGCCAATGAAGTCAAGCTGTGGGTCTTCATGCAAAAACTTACATTTTTTAAACTTAAAATGTCTTATGATAAACGTTCGTCTCTTTGAGGAGTCCCATCCAGTTCACGATTGTGTCAAAATGTCAGCTGAGTGTAATCTGTTAATTACATTTCTGCCTTTACACTTGGTACAGGGTTTACTGTGTATAAGAAATATTTCTTTAATTGTGTCTCATATGAGCGCAGGCGTCATTGGTTTGTTTTTACTGTTGCATTAAAATGTACAGAACATTATACGTCACTCTCTGATGGTATGCGTGTCTTTGTATTGGGAATGGAATCAGACTCTTCAGTCAGGTTCAGAGAGGTTTCAGTGTTTGAAGCCACTCCTGAATCACTTTGCTGCTGGAAGGTCGTAAAAGTGGGAGGAGTTTTCTCCATTGTGGCGGTGCGGGCATTAACCTTGCTGCGACGAAATGACTTTAGAAGAAGTGGCCGCAGGGATCGTCCGGAGGCAGCGTTGGCGTGCAGAGTGCGCTTGTTGATGTGTTCGATGGTGAGGCGGCACCGCAGCACCTGCATGAACACCTCCCTGAACTGTCGGGAGGAGAGGTTGTAGAGGAACGGGTTGAGGACCGAGCTGAGGTAGAAGAACGTGTCGGCCACAGGGTGGAGAGTGACGTAGCTCCGGAAGTAAGAAATGGTCCAGCGGGACTTTGGAACGGCCGCCATCATGAGACGACGAATCTGGTTTGGAAACCAGCAGACCATCAAAGATCCCACGATGAGACCTGAGGAGGAGGCAGAGAGAAAGTTAGAAACACAAACAAAAGAACAAGAAAATGTAAGCCAAGAGAGAACAAGAATCTCATGAATATTTATTACATTTTTAGTAGTTTCATATTTTAAAAAATAATCTTGTTTGTCCCTGTTCTGAGAATTATCACTTACAGCGAGGTCAGACTATGCGATCTTTTTGGTTGCTGTGTCAGATTAGGTGATAACCAAGCAATACATTTGTGCCGTGACTTGACCGACGGACATGACAGTCAGTCGGTAGCCGACCAATCAAACAGCCAGCATTGGAATAAAGAGGGGCTGTGCTAGACGACACCCAGGAAGAAGACTGTAAACAAAAAACGTTTCCTCCGTCTCATAGATTCATCTCCCAGCACCAACTTGCCCATTCTTGTTTTGCATTTTTGTTTGTCTGTGCTGGTGACTTTTGCATGTGCAGACCACTCTGTGTTCTCATCGGTCTCTGTCAACGATCATACAAGGCAGAAAAAAAATGAAACGTGCTCAACTTTCTGTCTGGAGGTTGTGAGGCGTTCCATATGTGGCTTTGATTGTCGTCTACGATGACACACTACACCTGATGTAACGGTCGATTTTCCGATTTTTTTACCGGGTTATAATCGTGCTTATAATGTGTAATCTGACCTTGGCATTAAAGTCCCTAGTCTAAATATGCAGCTAGAGCGAAAGATGATTAGCTTAGCTTAGCATAGAGACAGGAAGCATGGTGAAACAGCAAACAAGGCCCTGTCCTATGATAACAAAATATAGTATCATATAAGGATCTAACATGAAATGTGTTAAACTTCATCCTCGTCTTATATTAAACACATGTATCGCCATTGCTAGTGCCAGATTTCTGTGTTTTTTTTCCGCCTGTGATTAAACGAGTCATTGTTTACCACATGTAGGTGAAACACAGGACGTTGGCCTCCGTGGCACAGGATGCTGCCTCTGACTGCTGAACCTCCCTGCTGATTTATCTCATCTGTCAGGTCTGAGTCATGTGCTCACTCTTTGGACTAACACAACCGCATTCTCTAATCTGGTGTTTATCTGTTTCTCCTGCTGTGTTTTTAATGAAAATACAATGTGACCAAACAGCCTTTGAGCATTCACAGAATGATCTGGCTAAAGACATCCTGTCCTGCTGCGGAAAACAGATATCATCAGTTGTTTATAGCTCGCCGTCCAAGACTTGCTCTGGACATCATTCATCTGAGAGGAAAACTAAAAGTAAAGTGTTCTCTTATAAATGAAGTGTTAAAATCCCCTTTTTAGGTTTTCATTTTGACAAGCTTCGCCTCGTCTTGTTTATTACCTGAGCACACCAGGCACATTTAAAGATTTCTGTTCAGGTGTTTCTATTCTGTTGGAAGCAGTGATTCTCACTTTGTGCTAATCTCAGGTGTCAGCAGGCTCTCGTCGATGTAGGACACGTCTGAGTTTGTTTTTCTCAAACAGGATTCAGTGGCCAGAGTAAAAAATGACAACACCAAGGACATTTCTCTCTTGTGGAGATTTCCGGGTTTCTGGGATTTTGAGGTACTAGTATCTTGTTTATTCAGGAAAAACAAGGCAGAATCACATTTCTTTATAAAAACATTACTCGTTATACCAAGATAATTATCTTGTTTAATTCTCAGGCTCGCCCACAAAGATGGCTGGGCCCCTGAAAGACCCGGTTAATGAGCCCTCCCCAGATGTCATTTAATTTGGATGATTCATTAGGTTAGCACTGTAGCCTCCTGGCTAACATTTGCGTCCTCGACCTGGCTTTGATCAGCTTTAGGAGCTGACAGAAATTAGTTTGTTGCAGGCCCTGGAATGGTTATACCATAGACCATATACCATCTGTTAGAAAAAAACATCCAAAGATTTAAAAAAAAGGACTGAGTCCGCACACCAGAAGCTGCTCCAATTAAATTGAATTTAATGGAAAAAACACATTTTACATATTGGGCCCTCGCCTTCATCAGACATGACATGATATAAATGTATACAGTCATTTCATTCCATACAGACAGTCTTCTTCAAACATTCATACTTACCATTGAACCACATTGGTAACACAGTGACAATGCACCACAGTGTTCCTGAAACAAGCCTTAATATAATAGAGACTGAAGTGAATGAGCTTACAAAAAGGAGCAAAAGCAGCTATCACGGAGCAATAAGAAAAGTGCAGCATGGGAAATATTTGCAACGCTTGTATTGTTCCTAACAACTTGAAATTGATGAGATAAATTGTCACTGCAGTTTCAAAACGGAAGAAATTCATTATTGTAACAGAGTCAAATCAAAGTTTACAAGGACAATAAAAAGGGAGGTGGAGATACAGATGGAAATACAAAGAATGGAAACAAGACGTGAGCAGGAGGAGAGAATAAAGTAGAAAAGAGAACAAGTCGGTAATATAAATGAACTCCATAAGACGGGAGGAGAGGCCGAAGAAAAATGAAAGCACAGAGACATTTGTGGGGACAAAAGCTGTCTGTTTGAAGATTTTCCTGGAGGGTTAATAGATAATTAAATGGTAAATGGTAAATAAATGACTTTCTGTTTAAATGTGTAAATGTGTTCTCAATTTGACCTTTTCAAAAACCAACCAACCATCACGTTCCTGTTTCAAATACGACTTTATAGAGATTTTGTTACGTCAGCCGACAGACTACAGTCATCATCTTAAAGAACACGTTGACCAAGAGGGAATATTTAGAGGTTATTTTTAGCACTCAGACTACAGAAAAGGTCTGACGTAATGATGAAAACAGCCTTTTCAGACAGATCTCACGTAACTTTTTAAACATGAAAATATAAGACAAGATTTGCTTCTATGTAACTTTTCTAATCAAATATTATCTCATGTGCAGTTTGTCCTTAATTTATCAAAACTACCAAAGAGAGAAAAAAGTCATTAAAGAGGATGACATGCAGCATAGAGTAGACGAGCACAGCCCTCCCAGTCAACACTAATCAGTGTCGTCAGACTTCCCATCACTCTGGATAGTTGCCTTGTTTTACCAATTTTTAACCAAAACCACATTTCTTTTGAAGATCTTACAAAGAATCTTAAACATAACAACTATGGTAACTTTTTATTGTTAGGTTTAGGCATCAATTTGTTTTTGTGAAAGTTGGGGAAAAGTTAATGACTTGGAACAAAAAAAAAAGAAATCCACCAATGAAGACTTCTGATTGTACAGGCAACATTTGAGTCTACCATGAGAACGCTCTCTTGTTGCATCAAAGATATAAACTTCAAATTTGAAAAAAATAATCTGGGAGTCCTGCAAATAAAGGAGGAGAATTCATGATTATGCATATTACATATTATAATGTGATGGCATTTCAATAGCCGCTGTGATTATGGATTGATCACCTTTTCTTGTTCTGCTGAGTGTATAATTGACTCTACCAGGCTAATCAGTGTTCAATTACATGCATCTTTTAACTACAAAAGCATTACGTTTTCATTAAGTGTCGGTGGAAGAAGTCTGTACTTATGAAGAATCAATGTAAAGTGGCTGTTATGAAGCAATTTACACAAAGTCCAAATGTGAAAGACATGTAATTCTCAATCAGCGATGCAAACAGCCAAGTGAAAAAATTACCAAAATTACCGCCTGCTGCAAGATTGGTGGTAACTGCGCTGCATTTTTTACAGACTGTCATGCCCAAACTTTTCAGAGCACATTTGACGTAACTATTATTATTATATTCAAGGGTTAAATCCTTCCAGAGCAATCCAGGGCTAACACATAATAACATACAGTATGAACAGCTTTTACTCTTTGGAGGTAGCTCTTATGAACGATGAATCATGTACCACATCTCTTGAGTTTGGACTTCACAATAAACTTAAAAAAAGGACCCTCAGAGCTCATCATCTGCAGACGGCTTCTCTCAAGGATCAGACACAAAAAAGAGAAACCTAATGATTATTAGTTTGGCAACTGATGTCCATGTTTTATGTTTGGGGACATCAAGCTCTTCAAGAAGCAGGCTCCAGAAACTAACAACTTTCAGGATCCAGATGCCAACATGACTTCTTCCAACAGGTTGTTGACCTTTAACAGTCAATAACACAAAGATATTTAATGGACAACGACATAAAGATTAACACAGAAAATCCCCTTCTTGTAAAAAAAAAAAATTGAAGAGGAAAATGTTGTGAAAATTGGAAATTGATTTGAATCATTTTGCTAATTAATTTCCGACTGCGACAGCTTGTTAAACAGCTAATTATTTCTGCTGTAATATGAAGGATTTCCAATATGGTTGTTAATGTTCTCTCCAGTGTGCACATGCCTGACCCCCATTTAGAGAAGTTTTTACATTATTTTTTCACACTTTATGGAAGTTTTTGTAACCCTGCCATTTTGTCTGCAATCCTTAAAGATGAAAAGATTCTCAAATGAATATATTATCTGCCCCTCTAGGCATTTTTTGCAGGATTTTTCTGCATTTATTGTATCGTTTAGCGTTGGGTACAAATTCTCTATTAAGAGTCATCCATTGGCTGAGCGAGTGGCTTTTTCTGAAATCACTTCTGATCGACTTTCTTGTCAAGTTGTCATAGAGGTTGTGACACTGAATAAAAATGAACAGCCATGAAACAGTAATTTTGCACTGTGCATGCCATTTTGAATTTTATCCAAATGTGCAAAGAATAATCTATGGACTCATACCACTGATTCACTGAAATGTGTTTGCTGATGAACATGACAACACAGCAGGTGGAAGTAAGGTGATTGGTCAGCTTTTGGGATTGAGGATACACTGACTCATGATATGATAAAAGTATTACTAAACAGCTTTCATGATAGGATTTCTACTTTTTTTAAGGGATTTAAGTCAATTTCTGAATAAATATATTCTTTCATTTCAATTCTCTGACAACAAAAGGCATCAGATTTGACAATATTGCTAGGCTGAGATGATGTGGATTGGTTGAATTTGCAGGACTTAATGAAATCACAACATAGCTACT